CCTATCAGGGAGAAGTTTGACGACATAAGGAGAAGTGAAAAAAGGGCTTGCCCACATTGATTTGATCTATAAAAAGGAGTTTTACATATTTTCATTGATAGTGATATTTGAAGTATAAAATTCTAAAACCCCTCCTATCATCAGACCATTATAATGTTTTCTTTCTGATTAACTCCACACACCCCCTCCCTTAAGAAAATTTTCATTGTACAACACATACTGGCAAAATTCTCAATCAAAATTAATGTAAACAATATCTTAAGGAATTTTCATTAATAAAACTACATTTTAAGTGCTATTGGACACATTTTAACTAAACAATTTTCCTTTTTGGTAACTTTATTTTTTCATCGTAAAATCGGCAATCGCGTAAAATATGTGACAATGAATATTTGTCTGTTTCTCAAGCAGAAACACTTATAAATTCTAGTTGTTGTCGATTTTTTGATTATATTAAATTAAATATTGCAATCTGATGATTTTTAGACTTGGTTATTCATCCTCTATTGCAACAGGCTTGTAAAACAAAATTTTCTAATTTGTAGTACTACCGCCATAATTTACCGACCTAACTTTTTTGAAGACAAAGTTTTACTGCTGTTTTCGACTTGTCCAACAATGTGGGTCTGAATGTGGGGTTCAATAAGTTTTCTTATAACAATTTCATTTTTACCTAAATAAGCAATTCCGGGTGTAAATCTTTTTTACACTCGGTGATAAAAAAGTGACAGGTGTCGTAAAAATTATGCCTCTTAAAAATGGTGATGTTTCATCGGCGGATTTAAATGGCAAATAATGTCCGATGCATCTGCATAATCATGTCACTTAAATGTGTTAATTTTGATGTCAATTATCGGCAGTAAGGTCTGTGCGTCACCAATTCAGTTTGATTTATGCCTGGAGGCGAGGATTAACTTTATTAACATGCGCTGTATGATAGCTATATGTACATGTGCCGATGTGGTCAGTAAAAAAGCGCGGTGAAGTCGTTTTCGCTTTGATGTTCAAAACTCGGCGAAGTTCTGAAAACTTTAGGCGACTAAGTCGCCCAAATCGCCCAGTTTGCTAGAGCCCTGATTTCATGCTCAATCATACACAAAAACTCTCAAAACAGTGTACTTATCAATTTAAAATAAAAATATAAACATCAATCTATTTTTGTCTATCAGCCATACTGGTTTAGCAAGGTGCTTTACAGATTGATTCCAAATTTTTGAACGGAAAATATATTTCGAACACACTGACATTGCATGGGCAATTATTTCGTAAAAAAAATATTCCGTTAGATTGTTCTGATTCAGTTAAACGCTTGCATTTGAATTAGCCAATCAGATTTCGCGCACTTTATGGCCGCCATTTGTTTATCGGCTGTAAAAAGAATTGAAATACATGAGAGGATATAATCATGATTTTTCGGATGTGACAGTTTAATTATTTTGACAAAAGGTATTTATTTTTTAGTTTTGTTCATAAATAGGTCAAAACTAATGTAAATACACGCTGTCTTCATTGTTTTTCGTTCCGCCCGATTTTCTGGCGGAACATGCTATGGGTTTTTGAGCAATTTCGATATGACGTTGCTTTGCCCAGAAGCAAAAATATCTCAAAGCGACGTCATATTTATAGGACTAGTACTCGCGTTACCGTAAAGCTCGCTTTGCGTGCAGGCCCTTTGGGCTAGTCCAACTAATTAGACTTGTCAAAGAGACACCGAGATAATTTTGGACGGGCGCTGTCTTTTTCCAAGTCCAACCACGAACTGCATTTTTATGCACGGACGCTTCCCAATTAGAAAGTTGTTGGGAGCGAAAACTAGAAAAGTTTCGAAAAAAACGGTCTACATTACCTGAAAGAGAATCGTTTTTTATGCAAGGTTCAAATTATCATACTTCAAAGTCGAACAGAAGTCTAAATATTCCACTTTAATTTTTTTAATCGTTGAAAATTATTGAAAGCGGCCATATTGGAAAACGGTGTCATGGTTAAATTGTAAACACTGGTAAAAATCCATGGTGTAACACAGGTATCGGCGGCAATCGATTGTATTTGCCAAGCTTTATTATACAATTTGTTTTATGTTATTTATATGAATTATTGCAGGAATAACTCTTTTATTCACACACAAATATTTCAGCATTAAAAAGAGAGGGTGTGTAAAGGAAATTATGATAACCTTACTTAGAAATTAAATAGTTTATGATGTCCGATGTCAGATCATACTGCATTTAAGTCCGTTTAAATTGTCAAATTAGATATTATTAAGTTGGAATTTTTAACATCTGTGATCATTAGGTGAAATTTCTGAACTACCTTTTTATTTTATAACCCTGCCATGATTTCCCACATACGAAAATACAATGTAATTGTAGGTACATCTTAATTAATGAATTATAATTATACTATACATGATGAAGCAAAGACAGTCCTCAGTAAAATATAATTGTCGCACAGATTTGACGGGGTTTATGATAAAAACACAGCAAGCGGAAATTTAGTGACCGTTATTTAGATGTTGAATAGCTTAACAATGTAAGACAGATGGGAGAAATGTTGGAACGACTGTCGCAAAAGGCACCAAAACCTCTGATACCCATTAAAAATTCCATGTTATCTAGTTCCCGTTGAACGGCACCTCGAATGTGTCACATTGAAAGTTCCATGATTACCGCCGTATTATGTACACATCTGTGGATGTTGATTAAAAATTTCAACATTATTATGTTTAAGTGATCAATTCTGTTTAAACCGGCGAAAGGGAGCACTTGAACCTACCAGAGCCGTCTTTGGCACTCCTGTGTATTTATGTTTCGATTTTGCAGTTTCAGGCGTTTTTGGTGGTTTTTTTTTTGAGGGTGGATACATGAATGTGGATAAGTTTTTTTCTGTTTCTTTACATTTCTTTGCTCGTTTGCCGAACCTTGTATTGATAATCATTATCTGTTTGTTACGGTTCGGTATACATGTATACAATATGATAAACAAGATGAACAAGGAAAGGCGGCGTTCAATGAAACGCAAACCCCACATGACCCAGGAACATGAACCATTTGGCAAGGAGCCCAGGAGGATCCTAAATTAAAACGGGAAAGGGCGCAAGGGAGAGCACGGTCAGGCTTATCACTAAAATGTAACTGAGAAGGAAATCAAAGAAAATAAATAAATGAATGATTAATAGGACCACAAAGTTAACGAGCACAGGGGAAGGGATAGGAAATTCGGGGAGGGGCGAAATAAACAAATAAAACTAGGGGCAAAGGGTAGATACTTACCAAAGACGAAAAAACAACAAGGGACACAAACAAAAGTGTCACCAAAACAGTATGAAACAGGACCACTAAGTTAACGGGCACAGGAGAAGGGGATAGGAAATTCGGGGAGGGGGCGAAATTAAAGAAATAAAACTAGGGGCAAAGGGAAGAAACTTACCATAGACGAGAAAACAACAAGGACACAAACAAAAGTGTCACCAAAACAGTATGAAACAACAAGACATACACCTTATACATTTATAAGTCTCTTAATCTGTTCATTTGAAAATTCTGATCTTCTCAATGACTTTTTTTTAATATCCTCCACTTAAAATTTATTTCAATTAAAATATGTGACCCTTCCTTTATAGTTACACAGCATATGGCTGGATCACAATAAAGTTCCATTTTAGTAAATTAATAAAGTATGTCAAGAAGACATTTAACTTTATCAATAGTTTAATATGGTATTATATATCGGCAATCGGTGAAAAAAGAGCTCTTGAAATATTATTTGTACAAATACTGAATAATTTGAAGTGTATTTCAAATAGTTTCCTTCAATATTTCTTTTTACGTTCTTAATTGTCATATAAAATATGCATGTATAAATGAAGTCAGTATTTTATCCGAGTGACATTTGGCAGTCATTAGCAGTAAACAAGAAGGCAAACCACCAAATTGATAGATGTTGAGTATATGTATTAAAATATTTAAAAAAATATTAAACAACAGTACTTGTACAGAGCCTATTTGCGACCATTGCATTTTAGGTTAAATACAATGATACTTTTCAATAGTATTTAATAATGCACACATTTTTAAAAAATAATGAATAGATTTATTTCCCCGATATTTCGTTTAAGTTAATCTTCATGCGTAACCCACACTTACCTGCTAGACACACTGGTAGCTACTACCAGCTTTCACGGAATCGATTTTTTACGATGACGTCATAACATGTCCGCCGAAGATAGAGTAGACAGTACAAATTTGAAATAAATCGCATGTATGCGTTAAGACAGGTACAATCTAATATTTTTTCTAGGAGAAGTTAGTACTAAAATTTATATTCTATTGATCTTTAGAGGTGATTGAAGTTACTTTCAGGTTTAAGCAGTAAAAATCAGTCCAAACTATCGATAGTGTTGCCGGTAGATTTTCCGTGCGTAAAAATGACAGTTAAAATTAGGCGTAACGGTTTGACAGTAAGAAAAAAAAAGTCTGTAAAATGGGTCAAACCGTTCACGCCAAATTAATTAGGCTACCTTTGGGCCAGCTCGTCGAGCTCGCTATTAAAATAGAGTGTTTACAGAGGCGTATCATGTTGGGGGGTCAGGATCTGACCTCAAGCATCTGTGGCATTATCCTAGTCGGACCCTAGGGTCTGCAGCATTTGGCTCATTCTGTGTTTGTTGTATATTTAGGATGAATATAAGGAGACACTTAGTTCTGCAATCAGACAGTTGCCTGTTAACGATTTCATTCAAAAAGTGCTGAATTATAGTAACAATTGAACGGGCCTTACTGTCTCATCACTACTGCCATCTCAAATTTTAGGAATCTGAAACGCTCCAAAAACAAATGAAATCAATATTTCTATATCTAACATTTTAAAGGAAATAAAAAACAAATTTAAAGCTATTTCAATGATTTGTTTAAACGATGACAGTCGATTAAAGTATACATAATATTTCTCTCACTTACATCAACAACAAATTACCGGAAAAGGAAGTTCATGCAACCGGTGCCGTAGTAAATAATAACGGTGTAAATAGGTCCCAAACTCCAATTTATTTGTTTATGTATTCATCTGATTATGATCGAAAGGAAGTTTGTCTGATGTTATTACAGGTTATATTATTTTAATTTAAACTGTTAAAGAGGTCCTTTTAATCTGTCTTTTATTTTGACTCTATAAAACTGCTGTCATTCTTTCTATGAAGAAAAATAATCACTATAAATAGAAATGGAAGATAAACAATGATAAACTGATACAGTAAAGGTAACATTCTATCCCCATCTGATGATGTTGTACTGGCGTTGAGGTTGTAAAACTTTTATCTGAGTTCTGTCTGGAATCTCAGGAGTTTCATTGGTTACTTATTTTGATTTTGATTAGGGCCCCTTTGTTTCCTTCTATATATCAACAAGCTACCATCTTCTGTCCCAAGTCAGATTATTTGCAGACGACACTGCTGTATACTTAACCATCAACTCCTCCTCAGACCCCCCAACTCTCCAACATGATCTAGACAATATGGTTCTGTGGGAGAAGCAGTGGGACATGGAGTTTAATCCTTCAAAATGCCAAGTCATCCATATCACCAAAAATAAAACCATAATTAAACACAAATATGTGCTCCATGGCCAAGTCCTAGAGCCTGTTACAAATGCTAAATATCTCGGACTAGATCTATCTGCTGACCTTAAATTTAATACACATATATCTCGAATAACTTCCAATGCAAACAGATCCCTTGGCTTTTTTAAAAGAAATGTCATTACTAAAAATGAGAAAGTGAAAGAACTAGCATACAAGTCCCTGGTCCGCCCACAGGTTGAATATGCCTCAACTATTTGGTCTCCTTACACTAAAACCAATATTGACAAAGTTGAGATGATCCAGAGACGCGCAATAAGATGGGTTAAAAGGGATTACTCCCCTCACTCTAGTGTCATAGCCATGCAGGAAGAACTGGGCTGGCGATCCCTTGAACATCGCAGATTGGATTGTAGACTGATAATGTTTTATAAGATATACCATAACCTAGTTGCAATAAATCTCCCAACTTATGTTCAAACCCCACATAGATTAACCAGACATATGCATCCCTTATCCCTACGCCAAATACAGGTATCCTCTGACTACCATAAGTACTCTTTCTTCCCTCATAGCATTATACTATGGAATGAACTTCCTAGTAACATTGCCACCCTGCCCAACCTGAGTCAGTTCAAACAGGCAGTGGTGGGTTTGCAGTACTAGTCTTACTCCCAGTGTTTTTTTTAACTATTTTATCTCTTATCATCTTGTTTCACTATTAACATTTTAACCATGACTAGAATACATTTTCAGTCTCACCTTTCAAGCATGTCAATGTTTGGACTTTTCTTTTTTAGCTTTTCTTTTCACCTTTTACTAACAATCCGACGTGCACTAAATTCCTGCCTTTAACACTCGTAAGAGGGGTTGGCAGTATCCAGAGATAGATAGATAGATCAAGTGGGAGATTTTTCTTCAAAAAGAGGGAGATTTTAGAATTTGCAATATTAAAACAGAGAAGGAAGTTTGACATCAAAAGTCTATATAGGGAGATTTCTTTAATACCCCTTATTTTAAGAAAAATCTTTGAAAATATGGCTGCAGAAAATGGGAGTCTCCCGCTAAAAGTGGGAGAGTTCACATGTATGCAGTTGGGGTGTCACAGTTACTAAAAATGTTTTTTGAATGGCATCTTAATAAACGTGAAAAACATTTAACCAACCATACTATTAGAATGCTTCGACTTTGAACATTAACTAAATGTCTTGTATTGATAATATACATAAAATAGCACATTTTGTGTGACTATTTTGTTGTAAGTCTACTTAAAAAAAAACAATTACAAAAGTTTTCAAAACATTATATTCTATTATGGAGTTACTGTTTTCCTTAAAAAGACCGTATGGTACAAGATAAGATAGGATGCAATCGGAAAAAATGAAATTAAAAACAAAATTTCAAATCTTGACATAAAAAAAAACAAATGTTATGTTTAAAATCAAAAATACAAATTTAAATTGTAAGCTTTATTCAATTTCTCTCTTTTCATGCCAATTGCCATACAACAACAGACAGTTTGTTGAAAACCACTGTCATGTTAGAATTTCATGCCCTGAGGTATCAATCATTTTCTGGCACCCCAGGCCATGATATTTCCAAATGACAGTCTTGTCAATATGCTATAACAACAACTTATAAAATGGAAAAAAGACAGTCATAGACAAACTTTAATGATATATTTTCTCATATGTGTTGTTAATAATGTCTTAATGTGTAAGATTCAGTATCTCAAGTTTAAACTAAGTGAAAGGATACCAGTATGTGTTTTAATGTAAGGAATAAACATTGACTTAGCTATCCTACCTGTAACCTATTTGTGAACCCAAAGTGTGACACTAGTTATCTTGCCTGACAGCATTTTCATTCACAGAATTAGTACATTAAAAATTAAAACAACATTTTGTAAGTAAGATTATTGGTTTTTGCCAGTGTCTGTGTTTTGCTTATGAATAGTTTGACATATCTTTTAATAAACTAAAAAAAAAAAAAAATAAAGTCAAGTGTATGACTATTCTGAATTTGAATAAACTTACAGATTTTATCTTCCAGCTGAAGGGCTTTATAAGTCATATTTGTGCAGAGGGTCTTTGAGGATTACATTTACCAAAGTAATGGCTTCATTAGGCAACAGTATGCAGGATGGAGGTAGACCAGTTCAAGACACCCCTGATAAGCTTCAAGATCTTTGTATATTTTATTGCATGAACAATCTAGACATTCTTGTTGCATCATTGAATAATGTTAGTGAATCAAATGATGATATTTCATCCACATTCTCTTTGTTGCTTGGCAACAGATTGATGGAGTATTTCCTAAGTAACAGTTTACCAAGTGAAGATAAACAGCAATTTGTTGATCAATTGACACAGAACAATCAATTATGCAATGAAGTGATATTGACAAGGAGAGATGTAGTAAGCTCTGAAAATATTCAAGAGTTGGCTAATAATTCAATCCGAAGATTGCATCTCTCCATATTTGATGATAGTACAAGTGAAGTTACTGTTTCATACGAGGAATTATTAGAAAACAATCTTCCTTATTTAACAAAAGTATCTCTTTCTCAGAAATGTGAAGAAAGCCAGATGACAGGTTTTCTTAATTTGCTATGTGGACAGGAGGTTGATGCGGATATTGAAACTGTCGGAGGAAATGCGGATGATTTAGATAACTCTATAAATGCTAGTGGTGATCAGAACAGAGGAAAATATGATAATCCAAGCTTTTATGAGATGGTTGTTTCTAATACCAAGTTCCATGGATTCCAGATCAGAAATCTGGATGGACAAAATGAGGGAAGTGGGGAAACTGTTCAAGGAGCAGAGAAAAATACAGAAGACCAGTCTGATATTGCTCCAAACTTAAAATCTTTCAGCTATGAGTGTGTCTATATGGGAATGCGCCCACCCATTTCTGCACATCACTGCTATGGATGGTTTTATCATTTACTGACTGAGATATTGTTGAGGAACAAACAAATACAGTCTTTCTGTCTTGTAACAGTAATTTCAAACCCAGTAAAATGGTTCTTATCGCAACCAAAGATTCATTCAATGAAAAATATCCAGTCACTATGTTTGTCTTTCAATTGTCCTGAACAGGTAGCTGAGCTTGAGGAACGGGGCATTCCATATACAAAAGAATTCTTCTCCAACTTACCTCTTCTTGAAAACTTGAGGTAACAATACAGTTCAGTTTAACATTACATACATGTAGTTGTATTGCCTACTCCTGCATTTAAGCCTCTTATTAATGAACAGAGATTTCTAAAAAAAATGTGATGATAAAAGTAATTGAAAAAATATTTTTTTGATTTTAAAGATTGTTCATCATATTCTGTATGGATTTCTAAAGTGGCATGCAAAGTGCAAGTACATTTGAAATTAGTTGAGATCTACTTTAAACATAGTATGTTATAAATACCATGGTTTTCTTTTTTTTCTTTGTTCAAATGAAGAACATGAACCAGAATAATTAATAAATATATGCTTTATTTTTATGCAGACATTTAGATGTTTCCTGCAACTACGAAGGGGGAAACAGCGGAGGCATTTACTGTTATAGTGATAGAATGGTAGCGCTATTCACGCAGTCAGTCAAGAAAATGACACAACTCAAATCCATAGATATCTCAGGAACTAATCTTGCTTCAATCATTTCTCACAGTAATTCTAGGTAAATGTCTGATAATATAAAATCATGTAATTTTCTTATGATTGCACTTGATTCCCATTTGAAACTTATATTTCTTAAAACATCCTTAGATGGACCGTGACCTTAAAAAGTCTCCATTGCAGTGGGCTTTTTTTACATGACCCCCGAATCGCAAAAAGTAGAAAAAAGTGCCACAATGATGCATGCCAGCATGATTTTATCCGATAATGCATGTTTTCTTCTCTTTAAATGTATAACTGTGTGCAGTTTTATGCAAGAATTAGAAAAATAGATTGTGAAATTGGATACAAAAGCAGCTTGAGGACCTCTCGATGGAACTGTGCTGTAATCATTATTTTGTCTACAATACTTGTAATTCCATCTTATAAATCAGTAGAAAAAGCGATAAAGAATTGATTTATTTGTAAAAATTATAATAATATATCCATTTTGAATTTTAGATCAGCAAACATTATTGAAAAGATTTTCTGAAATTAAAATCAAATCAAGTCTACAGAATATAGCAGGTTAAATGTCATGTGAATGCCAGACGAAGTTACTTTTATATGCACATGGGTTTTTAATTCTCCAAATATCATACACGCTATGATGTCCTTGAGTTTTTGTCAACAGTTTTTGTGGCTATCTTTTCTATTATTCTTTTTGTCTAACTCTACAGACATCACCTCCTATTATAATTATTTTTTTCTCTTCATTTTCCAAAATAAATTTATCTAACTGTTCAAAAATTGAGATATCATCATTATTTGGTCCATAAATATTTGTAACTATATATGTGTTCATTTAACTATCTACCACAAACTATTTCTGTATATATGTTATGTTTTTGCAATAAAATTTGCTGTTAATTAAGAAGCATAGGCCACACTATTGTAAGTATTTCCACTGAAAAAGGCTGGTCCATCATAATAGCTTCTTGTAAAAGACATAAATTATCATACTTTTGTAAATTAAGTCAATTGAACACTTGCTTTCTTTTTAAATTAAATTAAATTTTGAAATTTATTATGTTATATTTGGCCATTTACAGTGATACAAAATGTACAGGTCATTGTATGCCTGGGTTTGAGGGTAGACAGTTTGATTTTCTTGGATTGTATGGCAATGAAGAATGTAGGCACAGTTTTATTCCAGCTCGAAGGGTTTGTATCAAATACTTGCTTTCATATTGTAGTCATATTCTTTTTTTGATAAAATTAGAGTAATTTTCATTTTAGGATTTATTATAAACTATATTTAGGGCCTCAAAAGTCTTCCCCGATCAATAGAGCAAGAAGGTCTGACTTTAAAACTGTATCAAGAAAAAAGTCATTTTCAGTGACATTTGGATCAGTGGACAGAGCTGAAGATCATTTAGCGGATTTTGTGATTAAATTTTTCTTAATCACTGTGTGATAAATAAGTTTTTCTTGTAATTAAAGCTGTTAAAATGATCTGATTATGAAAATATCTGTGAAAAGTTGTAGAACTGTAAAAATATACCTGAAGTTAGGTAGCTTTAAGTTGGTTGTTTAGAATACTTAAGTACAGTTGATGTAGGAAAAAAATGATATATGATATATAACATTGTACAGGTTAGTGGTGATGCTAACTTGGATCAGTTATTGGTGGCACTGTGGTCACTACAACACAACAAGGCTATCATGTTATCTGTACTGAACGAGCTACAGTTGTGGGTACAAGCACACTTTGTCACAGCAAAACAAGGACTACCAATGATAGATGTGAGAGTGTTTTCTTCTTCGTTTTTGCATATTTGAGCCGTGCCATGACAAAACCAACATAATGGGTTTGCGACCAGCATGGATCCAGACCAGCCTGCGCATCCGGGCAGTCTGATAAGGATCCATGCTGTTCGCTATTAGTTTCTCTACTTGTAATAGGGTTTGTAAGCGAACAGAATGGATCCTGATCAGACTGCGCGGATGCGCAGGCTGGTCTGGAGCCATGCTGGTCGCAAACCTATTATGTTGGTTTTGTCATGGCACTGCTCATTTCATATTTTAAATGACTTCTTTCTTGTATTAACTAAATTTTAGGGATGTTGTAATGTATACATGTAGTTCTCATTAATTATGGTTCTTATTAATTAAATAATGTTTATAGACAACACCTAAATTGATAAATGTTAATTTGTGTATTGTCTATAACATTTATTAATGAGAACCATTTAAATGACCAGGATTTAAACTTATCACTCTCTCTTTTAAACTTTTCATATTGTATTCCCAAAATTGATAATGAACAGTGTATTTAAGAAAGTTAGCAGTTTATGCTTAATTTAGCCTTAAAGTTTGATTTATGTGGAAATTTTAGGATTTAAGAGAAGCTCTATATTGATATATGAAAATTTGTTACAGTAACTGCCTGTTGATATATGAAAGTTGCTGTCAAAAACTTTCTTCCAAACGCAAACTTTAGCTACAGTTTTAGTATTTTCTCTATATTTGAGAGAGATACATAAAGTAGTAGAAAATATTTTTAAGTTTTACACAACAAATAAGCTGGTTTTTAGATTTTTATGCCATTTTTTATGTGTTTAATTTAAATCATATTGATTTGAGATTAAATTGTTTAACTCAAATTAAAACAGAGCAAATTCTGTAGTCTTAAAATTTGGAGAAAACTTAGTACTGAAAACTTAGTATTGAAAGTTAAGAAGTTGCAGACTTATTGTGATTACAATACTCATATTAAACTTTGTACACATTATAATTTACATATATAAATATATATATATATATATATATATATATATATATATATATATATATATATATATATATATATATATATATATATATATATATATACATTATATAGGGATTAGTAGAGTACATGGCTAAGATTGGAGATTGGGATAGCAGCTATGTGGAAAGAGTATATTATGAGGAAAAAAGTGTATGTGTTACACTGTAAGTAGCCTTAGGTTGTATGTGTATCTATATCGCTATATTAGCTTGTTTTTTATTCATTCTTAATATGGTTTAACATATTCAGTTGTTGTATTAGCTTGAAAGTTAATCTTAAATATAACCGTATCATAGATGTCTAGTAAATGAAAAAAACAAACATATTTTGTCCCATGCTAAAAGGCAATGTATTTGAGATACATTTGCACTTCTGATTATAGCTTACATTTTGATCACCTTTTTCTATCTTTGATACAATAATGTACTAAGTTGCAAAGTATGCTTGTTATATATGATGCATAAAATATGTTTATAAAATAGAAAGAATAAAGAATATTTTTATATTTTAGACATTGCTTGTACTTCTTGTTGAGGAGTAATGAGGTGAAAAATCACATCACCATTATACAAAAAAGGTAAGCCATTGTAATACAGACAAACCTTCCATCTAGTTTAGAACCTTTCTACAACCAAGCAAGTGCCCTCCAATTCTGTGAAATTAATTTCACAAACATTTATCATGTTAATAAGTTCTTATAAATATTCAGCCATCAAAAGTAATAAGGTTGGGTGTAGACTTTTTTAAAATTGCTCAAAATACGAGAATGATGAGAATTAAGAATATTTGAGCCGCGCCATGACAAAACCAACATAATGGGTGTGCGATCAGCATAGATCCAGACCAGCCTGCGCATCCTCGCAGTCTGATCAGGATCCATGCTGTTCGCTATCGGTTTCTCTACTTGTTATAGGGTTTGTAAGCGAACAGCATGGATCCTGATCAGACTGCTCGGATGCGCAGGCTGGTCTGGATCCATGCTGGTCGCAAACCCATTATGTTAGTTTTGTCATGACATGGCTCATTTGAATACGACTATTATTTTTATATGCCCGAAAGAATTTCGGGCATATTATGTTATACCCCCTGGCGTCCGTCCGTACGTCCGTCCGTCCGTTAGCAATTTGGTTTCCGGAGCATAACTTAAGTTCCATTTGGCCCACAGTGTTCAAACTTCATAGAATGATTGTCCATATTGGTTAGAAGACCCCTATTGATTTTGGGGTCACTAGGTCAAAGGTCAAGGTCACTATGACCTTAAAACTGAAAACAGTTTCCGGAGCATAACTATAGTTCCATTTGTCCCACAGTGTTCAAACTTCACAGGATGATTGTCCATATTGGGTAGAAGACCCCTATTGATTTTGGGGTCACAAGGTCAAAGGTCAAGGTCACTATTACCTTAAAACTGAAAACAGTTTCCGGAGCATAACTTAAGTTCCATTTGGCCCACAGTGTTCAAACTTCATAGGATGATTGTCCATATTGGGTAGAAGACCCCTATTGATTTTGGGGTCACAAGGTCAAAGGTTAAGGTCACTATGACCTTAAAACTGAAAAACAGTTTCCGGAGCATAACTTAAGTTCCATTTGGCCCACAGTGTTCAAACTTCACAGGATGATTGTCCATATTGGGTAGAAGACCCCTATTGATTTTGGGTCACAAGGTCAAAGGTCAAGGTCACTATGACCTTAAAACTGAAAACAGTTTTTTTAGCATAACTTAAGTTCCATTTGGCCCACAGTGTTCAAACGTCATAGGATGATTGTCCATATTGGGTAGAAGACCCCTATAGTTTTGGGGTCACAAGGTCAAAAGTCAAGGTCACTATGACCTTAAAACAGTTTTCGGAGCATAACTAAGGTCCCATTTGGCCCACAGTGTTCAAATTTCAAAGGGTGAGTGTCCATATTGGGTAGAAGACCCCTATTGATTTTAGGGTCACAAGGTCAAAGGTCAAAGCCAGTATTACTTTAAAACTGAAAACAGTTTCCGGGGCATAACTTAAGTTCCATTTGGCCCACAGTGGACAAACTTTATAGGATGATTGTCCATATTGGGTTGAAGACCCCTATTGATTTTGGGGTCACAAGGTCGAAGGTCAAGGTCACTATTACTTAGAAATTGAAAACAGTTTTTTTAGCATAACTTAAGTTCAATTTGGCCCACAGTTTTCAAACTTCATAGGATGATTGTCCATATTGGGTAGAAGACCCCTATTGATTTTGGGGTCACAAGGTGAAAAGTCAAGGTCACTATGACCTTGAAACTGAAAACAGTTGTTGGAACATAACTTAAGTTTGATTTGGCCAACTGTGTTTAAACTTCACAGGATGATTGTCCATATTGGGTAGAAGACCCGTATTGATTTTGGGGTCACAAGGTCAAAGGTCAAGGTCACTATTACCTTAGAAATGAAAACAGTTTCCGGGGCATAACTTAAGTTAGATTTGGACCACAATATTGAAACTTCAAAGGATGATTGTTTTGTGAAGGAGTTAATACTTTATTTAATTTCCATGTCTTACAAATTCTTCATCTTTACTAAAAAAAAAAAAAAATCACTTTCGGGCATATAATGCTCCGCCTAGCGGTGCTCTTGTTCTACATTCAAGTACAAATTAAGAGCAAGATACAATAAACATGTTCACAATCTATAATAAGTCACTATAACTGCACATACACTAACTAGAAAATAGTCATATTTGTCTCCATTCTTGTTCTAAATATGAAGGAAAAAATCTATACCAGCTTTAAAAATATCTTTGTTTTCACTCTCACACTCTCACAACCCATACTAGTTTTGTTAGGTAGGTTGGTAATTATTTTTATTGAACATTATTTATATGTGAATTATATGTATTTAAAAAAGAGAAATAAGCCGCGTCATGACAAAACCAACGTAATGCGTTTGCGACCAGCATGGATCCAGACCAGCCTGCGCATCCCCGCAGTCTGATCAGGATCCATGCTGTTCGCTAGCAGTTTCTTTACATGTTATAGGGTCTGTAAGGGAACAGCATGGATCCTGATCAGACTGCGCAGATGCGCAGGCTGGTCTGGATCCATGCTGGTCGCAAACCCATTATGTTGGTTTTGTCATTACGCGGCTCAAATTGTGAATGCTAAGCGACTGTTCAAAGATAAGAACCAAAGTTTCAAAGTTTTATTGATTCAATTAAAATACCAGTTTGTATATTTAAGATTCAGAAACATCAGAGAAATATAAACATGATATTTTCATGTGACTGAGACTTTGCTCCTATGTTTTATCCAAATTAATTAGGAAATAAATTTTATGGGTAGGTAACTTGAGAAGAAACACCACATATATGTTACATTATACATTACATATACATTACATTTTACCTTACCTAAACGTTACATTTTACCTCTGCTGAATAGAAAAGAGAATATGTTATATAAATTGAACTATGTAAGTATGTGTTTAGATTAAATTAAAGTTAATAATAAGTCTTGATATTTGTGTATAATAAAGCTTACTATAATGTATATTATATTTCACTTTAACCACACAAGAGTGTTTTGAATTAAGAGTGTTTTGAATTAGTTATTTGACAGTTAATCTACTACTTGTTTCCAACTTTGTACAGCTACTCAAGTCATGTTCGTTTACCTTGTCTTTCTGTTTCATTGCAATTTTCATGTATTTTGTTGTGAGCAATGCTTCCGAAAGACAACCCTTTTTTCAGATTTTTACATACCTTTCTGTTATATTCTGCTTAATTCCTAAACAAAATTTAATTGTAAATTTAAAAGCTTATGGGCTAAGATAAATTGTTTGTAGGGTAAACTTAACATAGAAACAGGGGGATAAATTAAGGAATGTTTTGCATAATTTGCGACAATTGCGTCCTAAAAGATGTACCGATAATTATACAGGCTATAAAAACAACTGATGAAGCATTTGTCATTTCGAAACAAAAGCTAAATATTTGATCATAAATTAAACCAAGGTTCTTATTAACTCTTTACAAATACAGATATATTTCCTTTCAATGTATATGTAAATATTAGAAATGTGAAACTTACTATTTTGTTTTAGTGTGACTTTCTAGTTTTACTTACTATACATCTGCAAAGAACTTTTTTACTCGATAGATCTTTCAGCAAGATTTAATATGGACTTCTACGATAAAAGATGTCAATATTATGCTTGTTTTTGTGTTTTTAGTGAAGGAAGAAAGCTTATTTTCATTCATTTTGGTACAAAATTTTACTGTCTTGTGTGACTCACTAAAGCTGCATTTGCAATTTTCACACAATTCAAACAAATTTCTGAGGCCCACATGGAAGATCGGGAAACCGAATGTGTAAGCCTCATTAAATAAAGTTGTTACTTACTTACTTACTTACAATGTTTTCAGAAACCATAAAATGTAGGACAATGCACTTAGTATTTATATTTAAAGAAAGTTGCAGTGCATATGATACATATGATACATATGATAAAAATAAGAATTTTACCAAGGCTCAGAAGTCGTTATTACTCGTTTGCATCACTATAGAAAGTCACATGATTCACCCCCATGACTATTTTTAGACAGTTGCACTTGAAATTGGTAAATTTATATTTTGTAGACAATTGATGGAGCGGCTGTTTGTTATATGTCACAATCTCAGTTTGAAACTTGACTGGAAGAGTTCAAATCAAGAAGTTAGAAACAAGGTATCTTATGTTAACTTTTACCCTAGGCTGTAGACTGAATTTTTGTTAGGGACATTGCCCTATTTTGTATTTAAAATTGTCCATTGATAATTGGAAAAATATTAACACAGTAGAGAATCTGGTCAAATTACTAACTGACCTTACTGTTTGTGGTTAATAGAGTAGACTGACCTGGCTGTTTATGGTCAAAGCACTTATGCATGTCACTTAATTTTGTGGGCTTGAAATTTTGTGGTTTTGTCACAAAGAACATTTTCATGGATTATTAAATTCATAGAATGTTTATTTTTTACAAAAGGCAAATTGTAAATGAGGTGATGCAAAATAATATTACAGCAAATGAAATGAAATTTCGTCAGATTTGAATTTTGTGGATTGACCTATCCATGAAAACCACGAAAATAAGTTCCCTATGAATAATAATGTTTTTGCCGTCAGAGATCAGGCTGACCTTACTGTATATGGTTAGACAACTTAACAGTTGTCAGGCTGTCCTGATTTATACCAGTCATCACCACTGGCATTCATTTAGTGATTAGTGTAAGATAGATCTTTTAATTTTTTAATATTTCAATTACAAGATGTGAATAAAAGTTTAGTATAAGAAAATATATATATATATTTGTAATTAAAAACTGTTTGAACCACATGAAAATGCAGTTTTGTAGAATTGCAATATTTTAAGATATACTATGCTCATCCTTGAGCACAGAAATTTATTGAAATCTGTTAGATTCTTACTATATATGTCTAATTTTAATAATAGAATGAATATACTATGTATGGGAAGCTGCATTCCCTATTGCAAGTCATGTAAAGTTGGTCTTATCTTAAAGAAAAACTTGCCAATTTTTTGTGTCGCCTCTACGGAGTAGTGGCGACATATAGGGATCACTTCTCCGTCGTCTGTCTGTACGTCTGTCCGTCCGTCCGTCACAAAACTTGTCCGGACTACTCCTCATAAACTACTGGTGCAATTTCATCCAAACTTTACAGGAATGATCAGTACCAAGTCTAGTTGTGCATATTGTCAGCATTTTCCGGTTCAATGATTTTTGTCAGAGTTATGGCCCTTTAATAATTTTTATTTTTAAAGTTTGTCCGGACTACTTCTCTTATACCACTAATGAAATTTCAATGAAACTTTACAGGATTGATCTGTAGCTCAAGTCCTTGCGCATATTGCACGGGTTGTCTGGTTGAATGATTTTTAGCCGAGTTATGGCCCTTTGATAAAAAGGTGTTTTCTTCTGTGTGTTGCCAGATACACAAAAGCTTGTCCGGACTACTCCTCATAAACTACTGGTGCAATTTTATCCAAACTTTATAGGAATGATCAGTACCAAGTCCAGTTGTGCACTGTCCGTCTGTCACAAAATTTGTCCAAACATGAAATTGGCCATCATGAGGCGACACATGTTATCACTGATCGCTCTTGTTTTAATTACACTATAATATTCACCACCTATAGTGTGCAGAATTTTAAACATAACATATTTACTTTGTGTGAAGACAAAACATGTTTATTTTATATTTACAAAGAGACTGTGTAGCAATTATCAATATTTTCTAATATCAAATCTGAGCATAGTATATCTTTAACAACTTTGTATTATTTGTCTTGAACACATTTATATTTAGCAACATCAATTTTTTTCTCTTGTAAAAGTAAGTCTTTTTTTATGTAACAACTGATTATGTATATAATTGCTAGATAAAAGGCAGTCCACACCTTCCCTATATAATTGCTAGATAAAAGGCAGTCCACACCTTCCCTCAAAAAGAGCAAAACAAACAAAAAATGCAAAGGGTGGGGGGGACAATAAAATCATAAGTACAAAACTCATCATTGTTAACAATACATAGTGATCATATTTATGAATCGTTGCGGACTTGATCTGAAATACTTTTTTTGTGTTCCTCAGGAAGTTATTACAAGACAAGTAACAAATATTTGAAATATGAATTATGTTCATTCTATATCATTTTAGGCTTAAACAATTTGTAAATGTTTTTTTTTTCTTTTATATAATGAAATTGTAATGTTTTTGAGAATAAATAAGGCTTTAATATTAGATAATGTTCTTTATTATTGCTAGATTCTGAGGGTTGCAATGTTGCTAGTCCTGATTTTAGATCTGGAAGTTACAGTTGTAAGTATGATTATCACGATATCAACACTGTACTCCACCCTGTACATATAAAACATTGATGGTCATATGGTATTTTTAATTTATCATCCATTATTGTGTTCTAAGTGAGCCATATTTTGCTAAAATGTAGGAAAAAATCATCAACTTTGTTCCTTCAATTACCATCTTTTGACTAGACATATACATGTATGTGTGAATATTTGGCAGTTTTTAAGCCTATTATTATTTTAACTGTATAAAGTATATAGGTTGCTGACTAGCAAAGTGCTTTTTTTCCTCCCCTTGGACCTGTCTTTTGAATAATATAATGAATTAAAAACATTTATTGCATTATTGTTTATATATTATATACAGGTTTATAGCTACAGATTTGAGCAATATATACAACTTCTGTTGGAGATTTTTCATGGTCCAGCCAAACCAGCACAGAAATTATTGTCCCTACGTCTATTACATTCTGCATGCAGGATCAGCCAAGAGTATAAAGCTGTTGCTGGTGGCAAAGTGCAACTTGTAAAGGTAAATTTAAAATTCTATATTATTAAAAACAATATTATTATTATGCCCCCGCCATGTAATGGCCGGGGCATATAGTGTTACCCTGTTCCGTCATTCCGTCCTTCCGTCCTTCCGTCCTTCCGTCATTCTGTCATTCCGTCATCATCAGTTTCCGTTCATTATCTTAAGAACGGTTGCACACATTCAACTCAAATTTGACATATGAATATGTCATGACAAAATACAGGTCAAGTTCGAATTTGGTCATGGTTCGATGATTTTTGACAGAGTTATGCCCCTTTTACTTTGAAAATAATATGAAATTTCAGTTTCCGTTCATTATCTCCCCAACGGTACAACACATTCAACTCAAACTTGACATATGGATATGCCATGACAAAATACAGGTCAAGTTCGAATTTGGTCATGGTTCGATGATTTTTGGCAGAGTTATGCCCCTTTTACTTTGAAAATAATATGAAATTTTCAGTTTCCGTTCATTATCTCCCCAACGGTACAACACATTCAACTCAAACTTGACATATAGATATGTCATTAGAAAATACAGGCCAAGTTGGAATTTGGTCATGGTTCGATGATTTTTGGCAGAGTTATGCCCCTTTTACTTTGAAAATAATGTGAAATTTTCAGTTTCCGTTCATTATCTTCCCAACGGTACAACACATTCAACTCAAACTTGACATATGGATGCGTCAAAAGAATGCGCAGGTCATGTTCAAATTTGGTCATGGTTCAATGATTTTTGGCAGAGTTATGCCCCCTTTACTTTGAAAATAATGTGAAATTTTCAGTTTCCGTTCATTATCTCCCCAACGGTACAACACATTCAACTCAAACTTGACATATGGATATGTCATGAGAAAATACAGGTAAAGTTCGAATTTGGTCATGGTTCGATGATTTTTGGCAGAGTTATGCCCCTTTTACTTTGAAAATAATATGAAATTTTCAGTTTCCGTTCATTATCTCCCCAACGGTACAACACATTCAACTCAAACTTGACATATGGATATGTCATTAGAAAATACAGGCCAAGAACGAATTTGGTCATGGTTCGATGATTTTTGGCAGAGTTATGCCCCTTTTACTTTGAAAATAATGTGAATTTTCAGTTTCCGTTCATTATCTCCCCAACGGTACAACACATTCAACTCAAACTTGACATATGGATATGTCATGACAAAATACAGGTCAAGTTCGAATTTGGTCATGGTTCGATGATTTTTGGCAGAGTTATGCCCCTTTTACTTTGAAAATAATATGAAATTTTCAGTTTCCGTTTATTATCTTCCCAACGGTACAACACATTCAACTCAAACTTGACATATGGATATGTTATTAGAAAATACAGGCCAAGTTCGAATTTGGTCATGGTTCGTTGATTTTTGGCAGAGTTATGCCCCTTTTACTTTGAAAATAATGTGAAATTTTCAGTTTCCGTTCATTATCTTCACAACGGTACAACACATTCAACTCAAACTTGACATATGGATGCGTCAAAAGAATGCGCAGGTCATGTTCAAATTTGGTCATGGTTCAATGATTTTTGGCTGAGTTATGCCCCTTTCACTTTGAAAGTAATATGAAATTTTCAGTTTCCGTTTATTATCTCCCCAACAGTACAACACATTCAACTCAAATTTGACATATGGATGCGTCAAAAGAATGCGCAGGTCATGTTCAAATTTGGTCATGGTTCAATGATTTTTGGCTGAGTTATGCCCCTTTCACTTTGAAAGTAATATGAAATTTTCAGTTTCCGTTTATTATCTCCCCAATGGTACAACACATTCAACTCAAATTTGACATATGGATATGTTTTTGGAATGCCCAGGCCAAGTTGGAATTTGGTCATGGTTCAATGATTTTTGGCAGAGTTATGCCCCTTTCACTTTGAAAATAATATGAAATTTACAGTTTCTGTTCATTATCTACCCAACAGTGTTACATATTCAACTTAAATTTGACATATGGATATGTCAAAGGAATGGGCAGGTCAAGTTGAAATTTGGTCAGGGTTTGATGATTTTTTTTGCAGAGTTATGTCCCTTTCACTTTGAAAATAATATAGATACATCTTAGGAATAAGCAGTTTAAGTATGAATTTGGTTGTGGTTCAATGATTTTAGACAAACTTATCTTTCCTGAATGTTGGAAAAATTTTGTACTTTCAGTTTCAGCACTCATACTTTTAGCCATTATTTTGGCTACAAATATGAAATATGTTATTTTTAAAAGGTTAAGACTGAATAATTTCAGTGTCTTGAACATTGTATGAAAATGGTTTGTGTTAACATTTTAAAGTTTTAAGGGCTTTGAACTTAAAATGAAAAAAATAATTAATGCACCATCTGAAATTTTGGCTGCATGCGGGGGCATCCGTGGCATGATGACACATTTCTAGTTCTATTTGTTTTGAGATAGACTTTAAACAAGTTTTTGTAGTACATGTGTTTTTTTTTCAGTATTTAAGTTCATTAATGAATATTAGGAGTGTCACGGTTAGAAAAAATGCTAACTGTTTAAACGGCGATCTAATAACTTTGTTAAATATTTAACCAGCTGTACTAATAAAATCCTCAGATATTTCAACATTAGATTTGTTTTCTGAATGATAAATGCGTCAAATACTAACCTTGGTTACTGGATGTTGGATTTTCCGACCGTACCCATTTAAACAGATAAACGTGAAACCCCTAATGAATATTATGCATACTGCAGACTCATTAGAACATGTTTGTTGAATTTTATACCAGAGATGAGAGGGAAATGATTGTTTGAAAACAATAAACCAGGATATTGCTTGTCACATACACAATAATTCATGTTGAAAAATGGAAAATTGTTGCTTAATGATTTTGTAAAAGAGCACTCTCTTAAAAGATAAGGTACATATGAAATTTGATTCGAGTGATGGAGCTATGCATGTATAGTGATACCTATGTAAAATATTGACCTAAGAAAGATAGAATGCTTTTTATATTAAATACATGTGTCCAATGTTGATAAAATTGATTGCCAATCTTTCATTAAGCAGTGAAGTAGTAGTTATTTACAATTTCAAACTATTAAATTTATCAAACAGTAGTTTATAATCTGGCCAGGATAGATATGCTGGGTAACGTTACTCAGTACTGTACAAATATGATAGGTAACCTTGTTCAGTATTGCACAAATGTGCTGGGTAACCTTGTTCAGTATTGCACAAATGTGCTGGGTAACCTGGCTCAGTATTGCCAAATATGTTGGGTATCCTGGCTCTATCGCACATATATGCTGGGTAACCTTGTTCAGTATTGCACAAATGTGCTGGGTAACCTGGCTCTATTGCACAAATATGCTGGGTAACCAGGTTCAGTATTGCACAAATATGCTGTGTAACCTGGCTCAGTGTTGCACAAATATGATAGGTAATCTGGTTCAGTATTGCACAAATGTGCTTGGTAACCTGGCTCAGTATTGCCAAATATGTTGGGTGACCTGGCTCTATTGCACAGATATGCTGGGTAACCTTGCTCAGTATTGCACAAATATGCTGGGTAACCTTGCTCAGTATTGCACAAATATGCTGGGTAACCTGGCTCAGTATTGCACAAATGTGCTGGATAACCTCGCTCAGTATTGCACAGATATGTTAGGTAACCTGGTTCAGTATTATACAAATGTGCTGGATAACCTCGCTCAGTATTATACAAATGTGATAGGTAAACTAGTTCAGTATTGCACAGATATGTTGGGTAACTAGGCTTAGTACTGCACAAATATGCTGGGTAGCCTTACTCAGTACTGCACAGATATGCTGGGTACCAGACTTAAGACTGCACAGATATGCTGAGTAACCAGGCTTAATGTTAAGTCATTATTGAATCAAGTGTAAAAATCTCCAAATGAAGAAGTCACTAATTGAAGAAGTCAGTTGAAAAATGACATGTTGGTTAACAGATAAGATGAATCACAATAATTGCAGCACTGTACTATTTACAAGATGATATGATATAAATCAAAGATGAAATAATATGTGATATACTGTATGGTTATATATTTTATATTTTATTGTCAGAGATTGTTGATGATTGTGATGGAAAGAGTGACAAGAGTTGAGCAGGTAGATGAAATCATGGAAAAAGTATGGAGTATACTTTGGTCTCTTACAGGTAGTCTTTTATTTTCCTGTAATTTTAAAGAGATAAGGAGACATTTAGCAATATAAAGAATCTTAAGCAGATTGATTGTTTTTATGCCAGTATAAAAACACATTTTGGTCATCTCTTGATAGTTGGTCTACCTAACAGGTTTTCCTAGTTAACTAACCAGTATTTACTAATTTCTCCCCACGTGGCCCACTGTTAATCCCTTGTGATTTCTTAATCAGGGGTGAGACACAAATGCCCATTAGATTCAATGTAAGAGAATAATTGTCATGGATCCAAGGATCAACCCAGGATAACAAACCTGATGCTGTACCTATTCAGTATTGAGCTAAGCAGGCAAAATTTTCAGTAGATATAATGGAAAAATATTTATTAATCATTGACCAACTAAATCAATACTATAATATCATTAGGTAATGGTCATATAGGGTTTGGTTCTTCATGTATTTTGAATCCACAAATATATCACACATCCACATCCATGTCTGTCCAAGCATTGCTTCTTGTTTATTATCAGTTATACATTCTTTTCAATGTATTTTAGAAAATAAAAAGGTGCTAAGTACCTTTATTTATGAATTATTTCAAGATTACACATTAATTGAAAATACCGTTTTTGCATAATTATAAGAGGTGTATAGGAACTCAATTAACTTAACATTACTTGCCATTTGAACTCATTTTGTTTGTGGAAAAGCTCAAGTTTGCAATAAGCTTTAACAGGAAACTTGCTAGAATAAGCTCAAAATTGGTTTGAAATTTCTAGTTAAACATTTTGACAGCTTGGTGTCAATGGGTTGTAACTCCTTTTTTATTAAATACAACCAATTAGCACCAAACCCTCAATTTATGCCCTATATATGATATTATCTTATACAGATGAGGTACCATCCAACTGTGAATTATTTGTCAACCATGCTGGGTGTCAGATGGCCAAAACTTGTATAGAGGTAATCATTTTTGAGTTGTTTATTGAAAATCAAACTGGTTTTACAGTATCTAAATTTCCTGCGAGTACAAAAATATAATTTACAATGTAACTGGCAAATATTACAGAATTGATCTAAGCATTTTGCTTGCTGATTATTTAATACAATAAATAATAGTATTTTGATAGCATTTTGTAGGTGTTAGACTTAATTTAGCTAATGATTTATGTTGTAGAAATACAAAGATGCAAAGCCATTGCACAGAAAGATCACTGGTGCCGTGGTAAGTTTTTTGTAAGACTTCTTTTTAGTGTTTTTATTTAACAAATAATATATCCCAAACAGTGATTTTATCGCCCAATAACATCACTGTTTGGAGTTCGGATGCGAGGAATTATATCACGAGAGCGTAGCCCGAGTGATATAATGATGCGTATCCGAAAGACAAACAGTGATGTTATCAAGCGATAAAATCACCGATTTGGATATATTATTTCGATTCTAACACGACATCAACAAATAAATGCTGCCGAAACTGATATTAAGCAAAATTGTTCCTGATTTGTTTCCTTACTTATTTTCAGCCCGTCGCATTTTTTTAGTGGTTATGTCACATGTTTAATGATTACGTCACATATCTAAATATAGAACGTCAACAGTGACTTTGTTGCATAATAACACACACTTTCGGTTTCTATGTTCAATGGGGGAAAAGTGCGGGTCATGTTAGAATTGTCCTTTAAACATGACATAATATGGTGACCCAAGCAAACAGGTATACAGGTAGGCAGACAGAAAAGCTGACGGGTGGTTAGGGTTAGGTATTGGGCTAGCACTCTTAGGCAAGCAGGCATTTGGGTGGATGGGCAGTCACAGTTTTGTCCAGTGCATATTTTTACATGCATGAAAAGATTTAAGTAATGCTTAATACAAATGTTTACCATTATTAAGCATTTTTTTGCAGTGAAACTGCTACATACACTTGCACAAAATTAACGTTTGTGTTGTGTCACACACAAAATTAAGGTCTCTCCTATCAAGGTCACACATGTCAGATAAAGATATGAAAATTTTGTATGGACAATTAATTCTGATAGTCTTGAATGAAGGGATTATATCACAATTATACTCAGCAAGGGATATGCTCATGGTTAGCAAGGTCAAGGTCACCAAAGCTTATTTAATGTAGAGATTTTGTCAGGTCCATGTTCTGTAAATGTATGAAGGGGTCTTAGTACACAAATGTTAATCTCTATGTTGCACACATTAAACAGGTGTCTAGGTCAAAGTATAGTCACACTTAGAGACACGATGAAAACAATTTGTCCATTGATGTACATCGTCAGATTGTTACATAACTTGGAATTGTGCACAAAATTCATCATTTATTTGAAAGTTCACACTAACGAGAATAAGCATTTGTGATAGGAGAACTTTTTGACAGTAATGGTCTTTTAACTGAAATTATATCATTGAGGGTTGCATAGATGATAGTGGTTGAAGTAATGTTGTTATATATTTTTACTACATTTGTTGATATCTATTACACTAAAACTATATTAAGCTTTTATGCATATTAAAATCAAGTATTTATATTATCAGGTTCTATCATTTAGTTTATTATTCCAGAAATATATGAACATTTTGTCTTAAATTACATGAATATCAATTCTATACTGTCTTATAAAGAAGTCTTTCATAATCAAATAACATAACCTTGTCATTTTAAATTCAAGCAGTTTAAAAGTCAAGAATCTTACCATATGCAAGTGCTGGACTTAATATATGACCACATATACTGAGGAGAATATGCTTACTACTTTATGTAAATGGAAATAAGATATAAAGATATAATACAGTTGAACTTGTTTCATGTTGAATTTTGAACTATTCATATTAGATTCAAGGGTATTAAAGTTATAACACTGAAACAGGGCACCATACTATAAAAGGTTTGACCATTCTTCATGAAAAACATTTTGGTCACACTCTGGCAGCAAATGCAGGTTATTCCTTCCTTTACTTTCATATAACAGATTTCTTATGTGGTATATTTTCAGAGCAATGTATCAGAAAACTCGAATTTATTGTCGTCACTCATGACAACAGATTTAGTGATCTTGTTCAAGTAAGTACATCTTATATATACCAATACATGAAAAGCAAACTTTTAAACAATTCTTCATGTTGATTTGATTTCTTATGATTTACTTTTATTACACTGAATAAAGATACAATGGGATCGATGGATTACAGGTTGCATTGTATCTGCCTTTCAAGCCGTAGATCATGGGTTTCTGTCCTAATTGTGGCATTAATTTATTTCCTTATATAACACAATTACTAGTACTAGGAAATAAACATGAAAATGATTTTTTTAACTTTTCTCAAATAGATGACTTTTATCATTAATTTCACCTAAACATTGAAGAAATGGTCTGAATCATAAGCTCCTTTTCTGTGACACTATATCAAAAGAGCAGATAATCTTTAATAATATTTTGCAAAGTTGAAATTCTTTTTGACTTGCAGTCTTTTTGCACTGATTTATCTTTCTGTTGAGGTTCATTTCTCAGAAACTTAAAATGATATTCACTTTAAACTTGTTCACTATCAAGTTGGAATGCATTTACATTTCTAAGAAGCAGATATCCCCGGATGTCTTTTTTGCTTAATTATCTCCCTTTTGTAAAATTCTGTTCTCCTATTTTCTTTCAAAAACAACTATAGATATTCATTTCAAACTTGAAACACCTGTTCACTGGCAAGTGCAGGCAATTCTGCATGCATTTTTTTAGAATTATGCCCCTTTTCTACTTTACTTTTTTCATGAGAAAAGATGAAGGTGCAACTCTTTTTATAGTATATTGTTAAAGTAATCTTGTGATATCGAAAAATGCTCAGGAAAACATGTTTTCTAAACCTTAACTTGGAATAATCTAACATTAATGTACTATCATTCATGTGTAAGCTATGATACTTTAGTGCACTAGTAAAAGTACCCATGTTTGAAATAATGAATGGAGAAGCACTTTTGATCTTCCTTCAAAAGTAAAATGTGACGTTTCCATCAAACTCCTTTTTTTAACCAGGTTTTCCGAAGGAAAAAACTGGTTATTAGATTGAGGTATGTCGGCGGGCGGGCGGGCGGACGGGCGGGCGGGCGGGCGTAAACAATTTCTTCTGTGCGCAACTCCTCCTACATTTCTCAACGGATTTTGACCAAACTTTCACAGAAGCTTTGTCATCAAGTGCCCTGGCGCATATTGTCGGGGTTTTGCGATTAGATAATATTTGACCTAATTATGGCCCTTTGTTTTTTTCCTTATATAAAATATATAGTGAACAATTTCTTCTGTGCTCAACTCCTCCTACATTTCTCAACAGATTTTGACCAAACTTTCTCAGAAGCTTTGTCATCAAGTGCCCTGACACATATTGCCAGGGTTTTGCAATTGGTATATATTTGACCTAATTATGGCCCTTTGTTTTTTTTCCTTATATAGAATATATAGTGAACAATTTCTTCTGTGCGCAACTCCTCCTACATTTCTCAACGGATTTTGACCAAACTTTCTTAGAAGCTTTGTTATCAAGTGCCTGGCACATATTGTCAGGGTTTTGTGATTGGATAATATTTGACCGAATTATGGCCCTTTGTATATTTTTTCCTTATACAGAATATATAGAGAACAATTTCTTCTGTGCTCAACTCCTCCTACATTTCTCAACGGATTTTGACCAAACTTTCTTAGAAGCTTTGTTTTCAAGTGCCTGGCACATATTGTCGGGGTTTTGTGATTGGATAATATTTGACCGAATTATGGCCCTTTGTATATTTTTTCCTTATACAGAATATATAGTGAACAATTTCTACAGTGCGCAACTTCTACATTTCTCAATGGATTTTGACCAAACTTTCACAGAAGCTTTGTCATCAAGTGCCCTGGCGCTCACTAAATTCCCATGTTTCTTCCAAGACATCATTCAAGTATTTTTTTAAAATTGTGAACATACTTTTCTTGATATCGCACAAAACACCACACGCCAATATTGTTGACAAAAGAAAATGACAAGAGACGCAAAAATGCAAAAATTAAGCAAAAATAAAGTACTGTTTACCTTTCTAAAACATTTGGGAAAAAAAGGTGAATAGACAACATAAAATTTCTCAATCATTTTTGTTTGAGGAATATTAAAAAAGCCATAATTCCTCCTAAAAGTTCAATTAAAAACAAATGCCCCTTCATGACAAAGCTTCTGTGAAATATTTTGCTGAAAACCTGGTTGCATCGCATTGCGATGTTCCTTGTTATTCAATTACATGCATTTGTCTATTCCAGAATACACTTTTGGCAACAAATCAATCAGATTAATAAACATAAACATCTTTTCCATATACATTGTTTTTGTAAGGGGAAATTTATTTATAGTTTGTCTTTCTTTATGGAAATATACCAGTATTTCAATTGTTTCATGTACCTTTTACGTACTAATAATTTAGACTAATGAGATAGAGCTATCGGTATATGCTGTGTTATTAACATTTAGGAATTTACTGGCATATGAAGATGAGGAAGATTTTGATGTAAGTTCTCATGCAGCTGGTTTCCTAATCATGCTGGCATCACATGGACCTGATGCATGGACAATAGTAGAACCTACATGTACCAGAGAAATTGTTCTAGAGGAAGTAGACAAAGTTATGATAAGATGGGATATCAATAAACCAAAAGGGGTGAAATTCAGGTATTTATAAACAGTTGGTATCACAATGCATACAATGGTTACAAACCAACAGGTTGAAACAAAAGGAGATAAATATTAATTTTGAGTTTGTGTAGAATAAACCGCATTAAGTAGTATGAATATTGAAAAGTTATTAAACATTGAACTTTTTAAAGAGAATTCACTTGCAAGTAAGGTGAATTCAGTTTTCACAAAACATGCATTTTTTTCATGTTCTTTTATGCAGAGCAGCCATATTTCATGGTGAATTATATACATGATTATAGATATGCAGTACAATAACTTGCCCCTGAAAGGATTGGGATCAGAGTCTGCTAGAGATCTTGAGTTTTTTCACATGAGGAAATTTGTCCATTAGCTAACTGAAAATTTTAGCTTGAAACTGGTGCATGTTACTGTTAGTGTGAGATATAATTATTTGAAGTTCACCTGAAGTTATCTTTCTTCAATGAACCAAATATTTTATCAATAGATAGGAAAGAAAAACAGTAAATATGATAAAGGTTTTAGCTTATCTAGAGCAGATAACTTTAGTAACAGTACAAGATTATAAGTGTATAACATGTTTGAACATAATTATAACAAGCCCTTTTTTCTGCAGGTCTCTTACCCCAATGTTGACACAGCTAGACAATTACAGTACCCCAGTAGCTCAGGTATGGGGAGCTTGGTTAATATGTAACCTAGTGATTGTTAAAGGTATGTAGGCAAGATGTTATTGTTATCCTAGTACAAGAATAAGACAAAAAGTTAATTGTATAAGTGTGCCAGGTACTCTGTTGTGTAAGTTATTTCATGCATGAATGTATGGATCATCATGAAACTTGGTATTTGATCTTAGTTTAAAATGTTCAAATATATTTTCCTTTAGTCCCCTCGTTTTTATATCAACGAAACAGAAAATAGAAAAATTTGAATGCCATTGTACTATGTAACAATGTATTATTTATTCTGATGAATGCTGCAAAGATTTGCTTGTTATTATATTTCTCACGATATATTTACATAATTGATTCATTCCAGTAAAAAAAAAGCTATTTACCAGCCCACTTTATTATACATTTTTGTATTGACAAATCCATCATTTAAGTTGTCTCAAATAAATGAACATTAAAAGCAAATTGTTACCTGATTTGATTACAGCACGGACCTACTGTGATATGTTAGAATCTGAGGATGGTTTAACAAGGATTGACAGTGTGTTAGAACATGAAGGATTGAGAGAGGATCTTGTGACATTACTACACAAGATCAAATCAGTAACAGCAGAATACAAGTCACGTGGGGAGGAGAACTATCATCTGTGATATTGTCATACTTGATGTGTTATTTATATGATGTTAGGAATGTTCTCATTATTTTGATAATAACCAATTATTACTTGTCACATTTAAACATGGAAATGGAAGCTTTACAATTTAATTTTAGCTTGTCCATTCAAAGAAAAATGGGGCTGTCATATTTGCTTGTACTAACAGGGCAACACACTTGGTACTTCATGTGTAACTTCATGTCCAATTAACCATTGAAAGAATTTGCTTAAAACTTAAGATGCATTGTGGATACCGGTAATTATTTGAGTTCACTGTGCAAGGTGCATAACTTGAGCATGGATTATGAGTGAATGATGAACTGTTTTATGGAATCTTCATTTTTGTGAATTCATTCTTTAATTAGGTTCTTGTTATACTGTTAACAACTAACAATAGTGGAGCACACTGTCCTACTGGCACCTCTTGTTATCTTAATAAATAAATGTTGAACAATATTGTTATGGTTTATATGTATTTAACCTATACCTTTCCAGTGTTTTCTATGTAAAATAGTTCCAAATATAATTATCAATAACCATAAATTATACCATTCTCAAAGTATGCAGAATATTATACCATAGGAAAATTAACAATGTAACCTTCACAATAAACAAGGTTAAGAAATTTAATTTTGGTCTTAATACAGACAAGTAAGTGTCAATAAGACAAAAAAGAAACATTTTTACTCATATATATTGAAGAAAACACTTGGTTTAAACATATTTATGTAAGCTCGATTGCGAAACAAGTTTTTGCAACTTATAGTAATCACTTTCGAGTCTGCTTCCTTTAACCAACCAGTACAGGAGTCATTAAAGAAACATGGTTGTGACCCGATTAGGGCTCAAACCCATGATCTCTGGGTTGAGAGGCAGACACCTTGTTTCTAACACATTGCACAGTATTTAGATATATAGAGGATATTTAATGAATGTAGGGTCAATAATGAATTTATTCTGGCGAGCATAATATTTTGTTCAACTCATTTAATAAATTTTGTAATGAAGCTACACATACATAATACTCTATTTATCATTTGCATAAAATAAGAACTGTTCAGGCGCTTTAGTGAAAATGCAAACTTAAAGCACATCTTTACGCTTTGTTTATATTATGTAAATGATGTCACATCAAATTAACATGCATGGGGGTGCAAACCATTTTTAAGGTTTTGCAAAAGTGACATAGGTATGTGATATAATGTTTTATGAGATTTTGTTGTTTATTTATTTACATATTTATTTATTTAACTACCAAGCTAGTGTTACATTAACAGTTTATTGATTATGTTAATTGTATATGTCTTCTTAAATATTTGCTCTCAAATTAATTTGTTTGATAAGAACAGTTACAAAAAATGCTGTGTAAAGTTATATCCAAATGATATCAGTTAGTCATCATTTTGTAGTAAAATTAGTTTTTGTAATAATCTAAAACTTGTCCCCTTCACTTGTTTATACAGGTTTTAAATTAAGCTGATATCATTTTACTTAATATCTATTCTAGGATTCGAAAAACAGGGGGGATTTTTATCGAAAAGAGAGAATTTATTACTTTTGTTGATCTTTTTCCTTCTTTATCTATGTAAAATTTCCCATAGCCTCTGAAAAAAAGGGGAATTTTCAAAAATATGAGTGAATCCCCCCTCCTAGAATAGACACTGATTTTACTCTCAAAATGTCTCAAATATATTCTTTCTGTGTACACTCATTGTTTTCATACATGCTACTTCATCAATCATGTATTTCTATTTAAATGATTTTGAGTATCTTTAATTTTATTCCCAAACATTTTTTTAAAGATTTTATTTGAAATATTCTGATTTCGGCTCTCACATTATTTATGCTGTGTCACTGTCTTCTATTTACATTGCAAGCATTTTTTCCAACATTTAAGGAATGCCATTATTACCGTAGGATTTGAGGGGAAAAAAGGGGATCATAAAAAGTCAAAATTGGAATTTTAGTGTAACATAATGAATTACAGAATAGCTTCTACTGATAGCCTTTATATTCACATGTCTTTGTACATTAGTAAATTGAAAAGATTCCTGTTTTATTTAAAATACTTTTTCAATGACAATGAACAACACCCTTAATGCAGACAGATGGTTGGGAATTTTATGCTTCTTAGTTTGGAATAAACGTTTATTTTGTCACTGGAAATACTTCAGCTTAACAGCAGTAGTTAAAAGGAAAAGAATCTGTGCTTACATTGATTATTCTCTTCCACTGTTCTCTGTTTATATTGATTATTCTCTTCCACTGTTCTCTGTTTACATTGATTATTCTCTTCCACTGTTCTCTGTTTATATTGATTATTCTCTTCCACTGTGTTCTCTGTTTACATTATTCTCTTCCACTGTTCCACTGTTCTCTGTTTTCATTGATTTTTCTCTTCCACTGTTCTCTGTTTACATTGATTATTCTCTTCCACTATGCTCTGTTTACATTGATTATTCTCTTCCACTTTTCCCTGTTTACATTGATTATTCTCTTCCACTGTTCTCTGTTTACATTATTCTCTTCCACTTTTCTCTGTTTACATTGATTATTCTCTTCTGCTGTTCTCTGTTTTCATTCATTTATTCTCATCAACTATTCTCGGTTTTCATTGATTTATGCTCATCAACTATTCTCTGTTTACATTGCTTACAGTATTGTATGTATAACAGACCCAAAACAGGATGTTTTTTTATATAGCTTTATTGCCTCACAATCACAGACAGACTCAACAGTAATTGAAATATAAACTTACATGCAGAGGCTGGCTTATCAGTACACAAAGGCAGGGTTTTTAGATACTAGGCTCTGATTGGCCACTACATGCGCTTCCACTGTTCTCTGTTTACATTGATTATTCTCTTCCACTGTGCTCTGTTTACTAGTATATTGTTTATTCTCTTCCACTGTTCTCTGTTTATATTGATTATTCTCTTCCACTGTGCTCTGTTTACTAGTATATTGTTTATTCTCTTCCACTGTTCTCTGTTTACATTGATTATCCTCTTCCACTGTGCTCTATTTACATTGATTATTCTCTTCCACTGTTCTCTGTTTACATTGATTATTCTCTTCCACTGTTTATATTGATTATTCTCTTCCACTGTGCTCTGTTTATATTGATTATACTCTTCCACTGTTTCTATTGATTATTCTCTTCCACTGTTCTCTGTTTACATTATTCTCTTCCATTGTGCTCTGTTTATATTGATTATTCTCTTCCACTGTTCTCTGTTTATATTGATTCTTCTCTTCTACTGTGCTCTGTTTACATTATTCTCTTCCATTGTGCTCTGTTTATATTGATTATTCTCTTCCACTGTTCTCTGTTTATATTGATTTTTCTCTTCCACTCTGCTCTGTTTACATTGATTATTCTCTTCCGCTGTGCTCTATTTGCATTGATTATTCTCTTCCACTGCTCTCTGCTTACATTGATTATTCTCTTCCATTGTGCTCTGTTTACAATGATTATTCTTTTCTACTGCTCTCTTTTACATTGATTTTTGCTGTTCCCAAATCTCCTAATCAGCAACAGAAATGTGTGAAAATGAACTTGATTATTTACATTTTCAATATTTATTTACATTTTCAATACATACTTTCTTCATCTTTACAAAATTAATTTTTACGTTTTATGAGGCATTCTATAAAATAACAGGAAATAAAAAAAGGTTTAACTATTTAAAGAATTGCAATTCTGTAGTCCTGTGATATTCGTGTTAGTATTTGACCATTAGCAGTTTCTTTGAACTTGCAAATGTCTTAAATATGCATTATAACATTCTCTATTGTTTATTATCCCCCGCCTATGGAATCAGGAGGGGGATATAGTATTGGCGTTGTCCGTCTGTCCTTCCTTCCGTCCGTCCGAATTTCGTTTCCAGACTAGTTCTCTGCAACTACTGGCTGGAATTCAACGAAACTTTTTGGGAAATATCAAGAGGAGATGCGCATATCGTCGGCTTGTTCCGGTCCGACACTTTAACTCAGAGTTATGGCCCTTGATTAGTTATGCAGTATGCATATAGAGTAAAAATCGTTTCCGCGCTACTTCTCTGCAACTACTGGCTGGAATTCAACGAAACTTTATGGGAATCTTCAATACCAAGAGGAGATGCGCATATCGTGGGCTTGTTCTGGTCCAGCACTTTAACTCAGAGTTATGGCCCTTGATTAGTTATGCAGTATGCATATAGAGTAAAAATCGTTTCCGCGCTACTTCTCTGCAATTATTGGCTGGAATTCAACGAAACTTTATGGGAACCTTCAATATCAATAGGGGATGGGCATATTGTCGGCTTGTTCCGGTCCGACACTTTAACTCAGAGTTATGGCCCTTGATGCAGTATGCATATAGAGTAAAAATTGTTTCTGTGCTACTTCTCTCCAACTACTGGCTGGAATTCAACAAAACTTTATGGGAACCTTCAATACCAAGAGAAGATGCGCATATCATTTGCCTTGTTGGGGTCAGACATTTTAACTCAGAGTTATGGCCCTTGATTAGTTATGCAGTATGCATATAGAAAAATATTCGTTTCTGCGCTACTTCTCTGCAACTACTGGCTGGAATTCAATGAAACTTTATTGGAACCTTCAATACCAAGAGGAGATGGGCATATCGTCGCCTTGTTCGGGTCAGACATTTTAACTTAGAGTTATGGCCCTTGATAACTTATGCAGTATACAACCAGAGCAATAATCGTTTCTGTGCTACTTCTCTGTAACTACTGGCTGGAATTCAATGAAACTTTATGGGATACGAAGAGGAGATGAGCATATAGTCACCTTGTTCCGGTCAGACACTTATAACTCAGATTTATGGCCCTTGATTAGTTATGCAGTGTGCATACATCTCATTGGCATTTCATGATATTACTATTTAACACAGAGCTATGGCTCTGTTATTGCCATGAATATTTATCAAGTTCAAAGAATATTACTGTTTATGCCATGATAAATATATAAATAAAGCCTTATGTCTTCAGTTAGTAATAACCAGTACTCGGCGGGGGATATAAATTCAACGAATTTGCTTGTTGGGTATTTCTTCAATTATATACTATTACATATTATATAAGTGTGTAGACACCAGAAAGCCATAGCTGAATACATGGTTTTTATTGATAACAAAAAATCAAAAAAAAATCAACTTTTCCACAGATTAAATAAATAACTTGTTCCAATATATTTGCAAGGTTTTGAAAGAATTCAGTAAAAATCTGTTGTCATTTCCAAGGCTAAAGTTGATGTATGCTTGATGTATCAGACATATATTATAATGATTTCCCTGTAACAATGAATAGAGAGAGATCATAAAACAATAATTATGATAAGCTGAGAGGGTAAGGCATTTGCACAATTGTTCTTTATTTTCTTATATCTTTTATTTTTGTTGTGTTTTTGTTGAGTCTAAAAACCAAGAAAAGTTTTTTTTGTTTTCAGGTCTGTTCATTGCTTTGATAAAATTGTTGAATAAATCAAACTAATTGAGCTTTTTCTTGTTTATATTTTTAGCTCACCTGGGCACAAATTGCTCAAGGGTGAGCTTTTGTGATCACTCTGCTTCCGTCATGCATCCTTCAAAAAAACGGTGTTAAACTCTTAAAACAACAACTCTTACTATAGGCCAATATTGTTGAAACTAAGCAGGAATGTTCTTTGCATGAGGCCCTTTAAAAATTGTTCAAAGAATTCCATTCCATGCTAAATTCTGGTTGCCATGGTAACCAAAAGAAAAAACTTAAAAAATCTTCTTGTGACAAAGCTTAGATATTTGGCATGAAACATCTTTTAGTGGATGTCTACCAAGTTTGTTCAAATAAAGGCCCTAGGGTCAAAATTGGCCCTGTCCCAGGGGGTCATTGATTTTCCTTTTATGTACATGTAGTAAAAACTTAAAAATATACTTGTGAAAATCCAAAAGTGCAAAAGCTTAGCTATTTGACTTAAAACATCATCTAGTGGATGTATAGCAAGTTTGTACAAATAAAAGCCTGGAGTCCCGCCCCAGGGGGTCAGTGATTTTCCTTACACGTTTATAGTAAAACTCCAAAAAGCGCTAGGGCTTAGATATATGGCATGAAACATCTTCTAGTGGATGTCTACTAAGTTTGTTCAAATAAAAGCCCTAGGGTCAAAATTTGCCCTGCCCTAGGGGGTCATTGATTCCTAGGGTCATTGATTTTCCTTATATGTATATATATTTAAAAGAAATATAATGTAATGCCTTTATGTGTAACTGTTTAAAACTTTACATATACTTTACAATAAAAATAAATGTTTGCTAGTTTATCAATATAATACATATACAGTAATATATAATGTAATGACTATTCTAGTGTGTGTATAATAATTGTCTTGTAGTTTGGGGGCCTTTCTGATGAAAAAGTGTCAAGAGTTAAATAGTATACATATACATGCACAGTGTGTTAACTGGAGTGCAGGTATTTCAGTTACCCACACTCCAGGGCATCAGATCATCAGTAATTACATGTCCTCTGGGGTTAGATCATTTATATCTGTACATAAATATTGGGTGATGTTATTTTTAGTGGTTAACAGGAGAAAAGAATGCAGCAAATTTGGATTTTTACATGAGAGGAAGTGACAGAGATAGCTTACAAAAGGGCAGTGGAATTTGCACGGTGATTGGTTTTGTGCAACAATACTACATATTGGTGGTTCTCTGTCAGTGGTAAAGCTGAATATAAGCTGTATAATTTTTCAGTGTAAATTAAAAAACAACAACATAGAAATTGAATCCAACAAACAAAGCTATTGTTTCAAACACTTTATTTCAAATATATTTAGTGTTGTTACCAATTAATTAATACAATTATGGTATATATGTTGATAGCAGCAATGGTTATAATAGTAAATGAAAATAATAATTATATTATTTTATACATTAAAAAAACTCCTTTTCACATAAAGTTAGCACTAAGATACAGACCCTTTGTTCAAACTTTAGAAGGACCACTCTCATTGTTTCCCCATTACCAACTCCATCATACCAACTTGCCCATGGGAAAAAAGGCAAAAAAAGGCAAGTAAAAGGAGTAAGAAAAATATCACCAGTACAGTTTCAGTTAAACAATAAAGCAAGTTTATTATATACTAATAAATGAAATATTGAGAAATATTGATAAAATAAAATGCGTATTTTCATTTTCCGTATTTTCACTGTAAAAATTTATTTTTCACTGCAGTGAAACATATTTTCCGTATTTTCACTGGTGTCTTGCCGGACTACATTCTTTTAAATTCTGTCTGTACACAAAATTGAAGGGGAAAGTCTTTCAAATTTTAATGTCAAAAAAGTGAAAAATGTATATAATAAACAGAAAATTCAAGTTTTTTCTATAAATACATGATTTATTTTGAATTTCATCTTGTGGCATGAAAATTACCATATTTCACTCGTGGCTACCGTCACTCATGAAATATTTATTTTCATACCACTCGATGAAAATAAATCATGTATTTATAGAAAAAACTTGAATATCCTCTATACATTGTATCAAAATTGTATGGACTTATTGTGATGTATATATTAAGTATAAAAAAATCTGATATTTACCATTAACTACTGAAAGTATTAAAATCTGAAAGAGTTTAACTGTTGAACACAAAAAGGGGTAAGGGTACTTAAAATTTTGACAAAATGCTCTAACATTTAGTATATTTACAACTAAAAAGCAAGGAAACATTGATCTTGGTCACACTTAATATAGTGATATTGATAACACTTTTATGTACATGAGTAAAAATCAGCATAGAAAGTGAAGCAAAATGTTTGACATTGACAGGTTATATGATATGCAATGTGGGTTTTCTTCAAAGTTAAGGTAATATAAAGAATTTACATTCTGTGACTGACTCAATAGCTATTGAGAATTGTGTCCTCCCTTACCAATATAGCACTCACCAAGGTAGCTTAATTTTAGAAACCACTGTAAAAATAGGAATTTACAGAAAACCAAATAGCACATCAGTAGAGTAAACTGATGGCACATTTGTTGGCAATACTAGCATAACAGTTGTTTAACAAGAGCACCGCTAGGCGGAGCATTATATGCCCGAAAGTGTTTTTTTTTTAGTAAGGATGAAGCATTTGTAAGACATGGGAATTCGCTGTTCATCCTATAAAATTTTACAGCTGTAGGTTGATTAATACTTAAGTTATTAATAATGACCTTAACCTTTGACTTTGTGACCCCAAAATCAATAGGGGTCTTCTACCTTATATGGACAATCATCCCAAGAAGTTTGAATATTGTGGGCCAATTGGAACTTTAATTATGCTCTAGAAACTGTTTTCAGTATTAAGGTAAAAGTGACTTTGACCTTGTGACCCTTAAATCAATAGGGGTCTTCTACCCAATATGGACAATCATCCTATGAAGTTTGAATATTGTGGGCAAAATGGAACTTATGTTATGCTCCGGAAACTGTTTTTGGTTTTAAGGTAATTGTGACCTTGACCTTTGACCTAGTGACCCCAAAATCAATAGGGGTCTTTTGCCCAATATGGACAATCATCCTATGAAGTTTGAATATTGTGGGCCAAATGGAACTTAAGTTATGCTCCAGAAACTGTTTTCAGTTTTAAGGATATAGTGACCTTGACCCCTGACCTTTTGACCCCAAATCAATAGGGGTCTGCTACCCAATATGGACAATCATCCTATGAAGTTTGAAAACTGTGGGCCGAATGGAACTTAAGTTATGCTCCGGAAACTGTTTCCAGTATCAAGGTAATAGTGACCTTGACCTTTGACCTTTTGACCCCAAAATCAATAGGGGTCTTCTACCCAATATGGACAATCATCCTATGAAATTTGAACATTGTGGGTCAATTGGAACTTAAGTTATGCTCCAGAAACTGTTTTCAGTATCCAGGTAATAGTGACTTTGACCTTGTGACCCCAAAATCAATAGGGGTATTTTACCCAATATGGACAATCATCCTATGAAGTTTGAACATTGTGGGTCGAATGGAACTTAAGTTATGCTCCGGAAACTGTTTTCAGTTTTAAGGTCATAGTGACCTTGACCTTTGACCTTGTGACCCCAAAATCAATAGGGGTCTTCTACCTAATATGGACAATCATCCTATGAAGTTTGAACATTGTGGGTCAATTGGAACTTAAGTTATGCTCCGGAAACTGTTTTCAGTTTTAAGGTCATAGTGACCTTGACCTTTGACCTTGTAACCCCAAAATCAATAGGGGTCTTCTACCTAATATGGACAATCATCCTATGAAGTTTGAACATTGTGGGTCACTTGGAACTTAAGTTATGCTCCGGAAACTGTTTTCAGTTTTAAGGTCATAGTGACCTTGACCTTTGACCTTTTGACCCCAAAATCAATAGGGGTCTTCTACCCAATATGGGCAATCATCCTATGAAGTTTGAACATTGTTGGCCAAATGGAACTTAAGTTATGCTCCGGAAACCAAATTGCTAACGGACGGACGGACGTACGGACGGACGGACGGACGGACAGACAGACAGACGGACGCCAGGGGGTATAACATAATATGCCCTTTCGGGCATATAAAAACATAGGCACAACCGTATACAAAACAGTAGGGAAAAATAGTACAACAAAAACTACAAATAATTATCTGTACTAAAAGCAAATCCTACACCAACAGCTAGATCCTTATAGCACTAGCTAAGGCTTTGTTTGAATAGGTATTCTCTCATCTATATGTACTGTAGTGAAAGTCACACACTTTTTTAATTTTATAACTTTCCAAAAACTTTGCTCTATATGTTTATTCTTTATAGTTTTAAAGATACACATCAACAAAATGGTGCAGGTGAGCATTCACATTTCTTTTTATTTGCTAATATAAGTTCATAATCCTACCATTGTAAACAATTCCAAAGCTTAAAGAGTTAGAAGAGATCCCCAGAAAATGTGTTGATGAGTCATCATTTGCTTTACAATAACATACATGTATCTATCTATCAAAGACGGAAGTTAGTTTTAGTGACCCTAAATAAAGTGTAACCATAATTATGAACCTAACTGCAAAACAACTGACAATTACAAAATATGAACACATAATTGCTAGCTAGTATGAACACATATTTCTTCCAAAGATCTCTGGAAAGAGCCTATTTATGAACCTATAAAAACTATTTGCTAAAATTTGAGAAGGTTCACAAATATATGATTTATGCATCACTGATGTATAACCATGCTAAAATGTAGGTACAAGAAGGTTCACAAATATATGATTTATACATCACTGATATATAACCAATCTGCTCATTGATGTCTATATTCACAGGTTAGTGTTTTGATCTTCTGCAGTAGACTAACAATGTCGTCTTTAACTCCTCCATGTTGCAACACAATCTCAATCCTTGACAACCCATCTTCAGCCTCCAGTTTATCCCAGAACGTTTCCGCTGTTAGTTAAAAACAAACAAAAACAGTAAATTTCATTCAATTTCAATGTAAAAATATTAAATTTGTTTGTTTATAATTTAATTCTTTGTGTTTGCACTTACAAATTATACATTTATCGTTTATAAGCCATTTATCACCAAACACTTATCATGCAATTTTGAAACATCATTAAAACAAGAGCACTGTATGCATTTTTTACGCTCATCAGTAATAATAACCACTTTTGACAAAATTTCTGAGTTACAAAAGGGGCATAACTAAAACAAATACTGCCTTCTGAATTATGCCCCTTGTCTAACACCTTCACCTTCCTAAGATCAGCAAGTATTAAAAGTTTCATACATGTATTGATTACTTTTAAAATGTTTGAATAATGGGCTTCATTAAAGTTTTTGCACAACAACGCAGCAAACACAATAGCTCAACTATTTCTTCAAAACAGACAAGCTAAAAATGCAAGAGAGCAGGGAAGACAATAAAACTCTGTTTTTCTGTGAATGACACTATAAAACATAAGTCAATAATGAGTGCACTAATCAACTGCGCAGTAAGATAACTGTTACCTCTTCATATTTATAATCATCTGTAAAGGTTTTCAAAGAAGCAATGTGAATTACAAAGTTCTTTATCATACAAAAAACAATCCAACAATTCAATTGACTAAGAAATTCTAACTGCAGCATTATAAGGTTTTATTTTCAGTTACATGAGTCATAACTGTATAGGTGGGTGTTTCGATAGGTTGGTAGGTAGATTAGATAGATAGGTAAAATCTTAGTTATACATGTCAATTCTAGACCTTATTATACAATTGTCTCCCTTTCTCCCCATCCATACCTTTTTTCAGGCCAAAAACATAATAGTGAACCCATTATTCTCCCAATCAAATTTGCTCTAAACAATTTGCTAATTAATTAGGTCTTAAATAAAGGGTTCAAAGTAGCTCAACTAAGGATCTGTAATCTATTGAGGCCTGTTTACATCCAAAGTTAACTACATTCTCCTGTGAAAAGATTCACAATGATTGGCCATGTGTCACATATGCAACAGCAAAGAATTTTTTAAGTATCCCCTAAATAAATCTGTGTATTGATGAGTGAGCAAGGGCCATAACTTGATCAATGTTGGTAGAGGTTCACTAGACGATGTTGCATTACAAATATCTAAGCTATAGCCCTTATAGTTTCTGTGACTATGATATTTGAAGTTTCGACTATTTACACATATTAAGGCAAAACCTGTGATGCTCAGGACCATGATTTAAAATATCTCTGTAGAGGTCCACTAAGCACTGTTACATGACAAATATTTAAGCTCTAGCTTTTGGTGTTTCAAAAGTAACATTTATAAGCATTTTTAAACAATAATTTTAACAAAACAAACACAATTTTTGGAATATTTCACTTGATACAATCTGGAAAACTCATGACCAATCCTAGGGGCATCATTTGAACAAAGTTGGTAGTAGAAACTCTAGTTTCAGACAATTTTCATTCTCATACCCACGGTCTTGGTTCTATGACCTACTGATGCATTCCAAGGGAGGCATTTGCACAATTTTGATGGGGAACCATTTAAGGATCATTCCACTGAAGTTTAGTCAAAATACAGTCAAGAGTTTCACTATTGAACCAACACAACAAAATGAAATAAACATATTTAACAAATGACTTACGTGTTGCAGAAATGAGGTTAGCAAGGAGCCAAGCTGCCCAATGTTGTTGGACAGGTAGGCTGTAGTTCTCTATCTGTGACAACACTATACTCAATGACTTGCTGTAAAACATACAAAATACATGACATTGGAAAGCTTACAGAATGTCCAAACTTTTAACATTGTTAATCAAAATCAGTTAGATTGAGTCTGTTAATTGACAGAGTTAGGTAGCACTAGCTACTGTCCACACACCATAGCAGCCACTTAAGCAGAGATCAACCATTAAACATGAAAATGATCAAATTTATAATTTAGAAATATCTGCAGATATGTTCATATGGCAGAGATCATGAAACATCAAATGTGACATTTTCATGACAGCAGACTATTGTCCCCAAGAAAAAGACTGATTTCACCCTTTATGAGAAAACTATCATTATTGGCATCACTCATTATTCAAATCTGATTAAGTATTAAACTTAATACTTATATACACATTATCAAGTCTGTTCCTGGAACTAACCAGTAAAAAGCAATAAGTTCCATGCTCAAGGCAACGATGACTTTCCCCAGAAAAGTTGCAACATAAAATTTATCTTACAAAAGGTTTTTTAGTCATTTATTTTTAAATATTATTATAGTATCTAAAACATGCCTGAAAACATACTGTAGTTTAACATAAAAATAGCAATACCTGAACTTATTGTCAGTGATAAGTTCATTGACATCCAATGTTTCAATTGTCTTGTCTATCTCCATAATTATACTATCTCTAGTAGGTTCAGACAACGTCCATATCTCCGCACCATATGATACAAGTCTGAGCAGAAGTCCAGCTGCGAGAAATCTTACATTTGTATCTTTCCCATCTAACAATAGTTGTCTGTAGAAATTTAGAAACATCACTATAAACAATAAAAGCAATTTATTCCAACTTTTTATTCATCATGGTAGAAATGAAATATATGACATCATTAAGACATTGTTTATGTACATTACCAGGTAAAAAGAAAAGCAAATGAATGATTAGATTCTATCCCCACATCCAAGGTCATACAACTAATAATTATAACTTATTCTTATTCAAGTTTAGCCTTAAACTGTTAACATAATTGTAACAACGTAATAAAATTACATGCAAAAAAAAAATCAAAGAAAGCTGTCATCAAACAGTGTCACTAATATCAAAAGTTAAACCCTTACTCTGCTGAAACAGGCCATGATTAACTTTCGAAACCAATAGTGATTAACTTTTGCTATCAGTAGTGATTAACCTATGCCACCAGTAGTGATTCACCTTTGCCACCAGAAGTGATTAATCTTTGCCACAAGTAGTGATTAACCTATGCCACCAGTAGTGATTAATCTTTGCCATCAGTAGTGATTAATCTTTGCCACAAGTAGTGATTAACCTATGCCACCAGTAGTGATTCACCTTTGCCACCAGTAGTGATTAATCTTTGCCACAAGTAGTGATTCACCTTTGCCACCAGAAGTGATTAATCTTTGCCACAAGTAGTGATTCACCTATGCCACCAGTAGTGATTAATCTTTGCCATCAGTAGTGATTAATCTTTGCCACAAGTAGTGATTAACCTATGCCAACAGTAGTGATTAACCTTTGCCACCAGTAGTTATTAACCTATGCCACCAGTAGTGATTCACCTTTGCCACCAGTAGTGATTCATCTTTGCCACAAGTAGTGATTAACCTATGTCACCAGTAGTGATTAACCTTTGTCACAAGTATTGATAAACCTTTGCCACCAGTAGTGATTAACCTTTGCCACTAATAGTGAATAACCTTTGCCACCAGTAGTGATAAACATTTGCCACCAGTAGTGATTAACATTTGCCACCAGTAGTGATAAATCTTTGCCACCAGTAGTGATTAACCATTGCCACCAGTAGAGAGCAAGGACAACATGCATATCAATTTAGTCTTACCATGGCACACTACACTGTTGGCAGACTTATTTTAAATTTTCATCTTTACACTCTTACATTAACAAGAGCTGTTAGTAGGACAGTGTACTTGACTATTACTCAGTGCTCGACAGTAAAATCAGAGGCTGAATAATGTAGAATTTTCAAAGTTTAAAAAGGGCCGTAAGAGTTGGGACAGTCACCTCTTTTTATGCTCTCAAATAAGTGTGTGGTGTTAAAACCTATTCCTTACAATAGTTTTGGAGATATCAACACTTGCATGCAAAAACTTAACAACAATGTGATGCTGACACCAACTTCGGTGCCTGAGTGAGTACAATAGCTCTTCCTATTCTTCTAATAGACAAGCTTAACATGGACATCTGAGGCATGCGCTTCTAAGAAATTCAGCGAATTAATGTGTAACAGGAATATTTACCTGAATACTGTCATCATGTCAGACACCATCAACCATGAAGACATGCTGGAGTTTTCTGACACATCAACCTGGAATAATCCAAATTTCTAAAAAATTTAAAAAATGCCAATAATTGATTTGTGTCACACTCCCTACAATTAAATTGAAAAAACTTGAGCACAGTTGGCAATATATGCCCCAATGTTAATTTGTTTGAGTAAATGAATTTTTTATACATTAAAGTCTATTGAAAGCTACTGACCCCTGGGTTTAAAAGTATTTACTGTCAGACATAAAAAGACAAATAAAAAATTAGTATACACAAATGAAATTATAACAACATATATTTGTAAAACATGTATGCCGCCTATCGACATCAAATTAGTCATGTGGCCAGATTACAATGTATTGTGACTGACTTATGACCTAGTGACCAAAACATCAATAAAGGTTATCTTGAAATGTGTATCACCAACACATTTTTAGTTATCAAGAATATTAACCATGGCAACTTGAGTTGTTGAGTTATTGGTCAGAAACCTTTTTGATGTACAAGGTCAATGTTACTTTGACCTTCGACCTTTAATCAATATGGGTTATCTACTGGCCAAGACAAATGCACCTGTGAAGTTTGAAAGTAAAGGGCCCATGAGTTGTCTAGATATTGATCAGAAACTGTTTTACCTATTAGGTCAATGTGATCTTGACCTTTAACCTCTTGACCCAAAAATCCATGACCAAAAGCACTGTATTTGTGAAGTTTGAAGGTCAAGAGTCCATGAATTGTCGAGTTATTGAAAGGAAACTGTTTTGACATAAAAGGCCAATGTGACCTTAACCTTTGACCCCCTGATCCTAAAATGAATAGATGTCATCTACTGGCCAAGACCAATACACCTATGCAGTTTGAGGGCCAAGGGCCTAGGGTTGACAAGTTATTGATTGAAAACCCTTTTTACCTACAAGGTAAATATGACCTTGACCCCTTAACCCCAAAATCAATAGGGGTAATCTTCTTGACAAATCTAATGCACCTACCATGTTTGACGGCTAACAGCCTTAGGAATGTCAAATAATTGATTGGAAGCCGTTTTTTTACCTACAACACAAGTTATTGAAGGGAAACTGTTTTGACATAAAAGGCCAATGTGACCTTAACCTTTGACCCCCTGATCCTAAAATCAATAGTGGTCATCTACTTGCCAAGACCAATGCACCTACAAAGTTTGAGGGTCAACAGCCCATCGGTTTCAAGTTATTGATCAGAAACCCTTTTTACCTACAAGGTCAATGTAACCTTGACCCCTTAATCAAAAGGGGTCATCTTCTAGTCATGAACAATCCCCATACCAAGTTTGTAGTTCCTGGGCCTCAGTATTCTTTAGTTATTGATCGGAAACCATTTGGTCTACGGACCCACCAACCAACAGACAAATGCAAAGCAATATACCCCCCCCCACTTCTTTAAGGGGGGCATAATTACTGAGAAAAATTGCATGTTTTCTTTGATAAAAAAAAGTATTTTCCTAAAACATCCACAAAGACTTTACAACAATGTCAAACTAATCAAAATATTGTTCACTGAATATTATCCATAGATATTTTTTAATTATAAAACAGTTTCTAATATCACTCACTCATGTATTTTTTTATTTATGTTTTGACCTGATGAACTTTATCATAATAATGAATTCGTAGTAAGATAAAGTTGTTATTACTTGTTGTTTTTATAAACATAATAACAATATGAAGTTTACGCAGAACTGATGAAATGAAATAGTGTTAACATTAAAAGTCCATCTTTATTGCATGTAGAATATATAGAAGGTCTATCCTTGAGGATTAATGTGTCCAATTCATTTATAATAACTAAGCAATAGCCAATATGGGATATTTTTCAAGTTAGATAATTGAGCAACAGAAAACATCCTGGGCACTGCAGTGTATAAAATACTTGATGAATCTTAGGAAGAAACCTACCAGTATTCCAAGGATCATTTTGTGTAGACCTTTATCATGTGGATATTTCTGAAAAATAAATGCAACATACTACCTTCATAAAACTGAACCAAATTAATTTACTTCCATATTGTAAAAATGATGCACAAGTTGCTTGATAAAAATTGACATTCCTTAAAGAGTATAGCACCTTAACTTACTCACCCAGCCAAAATACACTTTTCACATAATTCTAAGCTTAATGACGCATAATCCAAAAGGTAGTTTTCCCTTTTAAGTATGGATCCTGACCATGTCACTGTCATGCTCTTCCAAGCAGTAAGTGGTGATAATTAACCTCCGCACAATTTTGACAGAAAAGTAGCTAAAAAGTTTCATTTTGGGCCTGGAAGTTGGGTCACTGCACTGGAATCAAAGAGACCTACATACAACATACAGTAACATGTGACAACAATGGAAAGGTAGACAGCCCTAATAGCAGCTGTTATGCCAGTTAAGAGTCTGCTTTACAAGCTGTCTATGGTCTCACAAACTCCAGCACCCTTCCTTGTCATCCTACCAACATATGTTAGTGCCATCTATGCATTCTACTGGGTCATGCACCCTACTACCTGTCTTTATTTTGCATGCCACTTTGTATACATGTTATCTTTAGTAACAGTCTGTTTGTTTTGTTTAATTACATTTATGGCACACCAACACAGTTTAGGTCATGTGACGTCGAAACAGAAGATGAGTTTGCCTAACCCAGAGTGTTACAATTTTCAAAGCAACACCAGGGGTCAAAACCACCCCACCTACTGGAGCTCAAAGATGCATAGACTCAAGTTATTCAAACCCATTTAGTCCCCTCTTTTAATTACACAGGAATAAACTGTGGATGCAATTCTGATGCCTCAGCCACAAGGGATAGCAGTCTATACCACTGGAAACCTCTTATATACTGATTACCAATTTACACCACTAACCATAGAGACCCTTTATCTATTAACTAGCAATATTATGTATATTTATCTATCATACTTAGAACAACATCACTTGTTAACTGGTAGTCTATTTACATCATGGAGGTCACCCATTTGTTAACTAGCGATCAAAATGAACTAGTCATCTATTTACATCAGCCACAAAGCAACATCATTTATTATGCCCCCGCTATGTAATAGCCGGGGCATATAGTGTTACCCTGTTCCGTCCTTCCGTCATCCGTCCTTCCGTCATCATCAGTTTCCGTTCATTATCTTAGTAACGGTTGCACACATTCAACTCAAATTTGACATATGGATATGTCATGAGAAAATACAGATCAAGTTCGAATTTGGTCATGGTTCGATGATTTTTGGCAGAGTAATGCCCCTTTTTCTTTGAAAATAATATGAAATTTTCAGTTTCCGTTCATTATCTCCCCAACGGTACAACACATTCAACTCAAATTTGACATATGGATATGTCATGATAAAATACAGGTCAAGTTCGAATTTGGTCATGGTTCGATGATTTTTGGCAGAGTTATGCCCCTTTTACTTTAAAATAATATGAAATTTTCAGTTTCCGTTCATTATCTCCCCAACGGTACAACACATTCAACTCAAACTTGACATATGGATATGTCATGATAAAGTACAGGTCAAGTTCGAATTTGGTCATGGTTTGATGATTTTTGGCAGAGTTATGCCCCTTTCACTTTGAAAATAATATGAAATTTTCAGTTTCTGTTCATTATCTCCCCTACGGTACAACACATTCAACTCAAATTTGACATATGGATACGTCATGATAAAATACAAGTCAAGTTCGAATTTGGTCATGGTTCGATGATTTTTGGCAGAGTTATGCCCCTTTCACTTTGAAAATAATATGAAATTTTCAGTTTCTGTTCATTATCTCCCCTACGGTACAACACATTCAACTCAAATTTGACATATGGATACGTCATAATAAAATACAGGTCAAGTTCAAATTTGGTCATGGTTCAATGATTTTTTGGCAGAGTTATGTCCCTTTCACTTTGAAAATAATATAGATACATCTGAGGAATAAGCAGTTTAAGTTTGAATTTGGTCATGGTTCAATGATTTTGGACAAACTTATCTTTCTTGAATGTTGGAAAAATTTTTTCAGTTTCAGCACTCATACTTTTGTGGAAATGTATGTAGCCATTATTTTGGCTACAAATATGAAATATGCTATTTTCAAAAGGTTAAGACTGAATAATTTCAGTGCCTTGAACATTGTATGGAAATGGTTTGTGTTAACATTGAAAAGTTTTAAGGGCTTTGAACTTAAAATGAAAAAAATAATTTGTGCAAACAAATTTGGAACTAAATATTATAACATCTGAAATTTTGACTGCATGCGGGGGCATCCGTGGCATGATGACACATTTCTAGTTAAATATGCATCTTTTTACATAGATAAGTAACATATATCACATCATCTTAAATATAACAACAACTAACATTTCCTAGAGATACTAAAAACAAATTCTTACATCAATACACAGCTTTGAAAACTGGCAGCCTTTGTTCTGGACAAACAATTCACAATTACATGGAATTTCATCTGCAAACAAATAAATTTTAGCTGATCTTAAACATTGAGTAAAAAAATGGTTACATACTAATTATAGAAATTGTATGTTAGTTAAGATGAAATTCAAACAAGAAGTGCCGCAATGCGACGATTACCAGGTTTTCAACGACCAAGTTTTGATGTGACAGCAATCAATAGGTCAAAGTGCACTGAAGTAATTGAGTAGAAGCTGAAAATTCTATTGTAAGCAAATGACCTTGAACTTGCTCCCAGATATCTAAGTGGCAATCCAAAGCTGCCACTCAGCAAGTTTGGTGTCAAAAGGTCAAAGCAAACTCAAGTTATAACATGAAAACTTTATACATTAACCTTGATCACAGACACCTGGGTAGCAATCCCAAGCTGCCTCTTGATATAAGCTACCCATTCATCAAGTTTGATGTCAATAGGCCAAAGCAAACTCAAGTTATTGAGCAGAAACTGAATTTCTATTTTTAGTAACAGTGACCTTGACCTTGATAACAGACACCTGGGTAGCAATCCCAAGCTGCCTCTTGATATCAGCTATCCATACACCAAGTTTGGTGTCAATAGGCCAAAGCAAACTCAAGTTATTGAGCAGAAACTGAATTTCTATTTTTAGTTACAGTGACCTTGACCTTGATAACAGACACCTGGGTAGCAATCCCAAGCTGCCTCTTGATATAAGCTATCCATACACCAAGTTTGGTGTCAATAGGCCAAAGCAAACTCAAGTTATTGAGCAGAAACTGAATTTCTATTTTTAGTAACAGTGACATTGACCTTGATCACAGACATCTGGGTAGCAATCCCAAGCAGCCTCTTGATATAGGCTATCCATACACCAAGTTTGGTGTCAATAGGCCAAAGCATACTATAGTTATTGAGCAGAAACCAAAAGTTGACACCCGCCTGCCCGCCGCAGACTTCGGCATTACAATAACCTGGTTTTCGTTGAAAACCTGGTTAATAAGTTACTGATGTAGGCTTACATGTATTTTATTCTGCTGAAGACATACTGACTTGTTTCTGTATATTGTATAATTTATTTTGTAATTGACTTTTATCCTGACGGAACCAACAGTGATTTGCCTTAGCCATCATTTTACTGCAAGTTAAGGTGGTACAAGCACAAATTTTGTAGCAGTCCACTAGAAAATGTTTCGAACTAAATATCTAAGCTCTAGCCTTTATGGGGTCAGAGGTTTTATTTTACAAGATATGTATCAGAAAAAAAATCATGACCCAAATTTGACCCCAAGAGCTATAATCAGAACAAACTTGGTGCACGTCTACTAGACAATATTTCACACCAAATCTCTAAGCTCTAGCCATTTTTTGGTATGGTATGGATAACCTATTTCCCTACAAGGCCAGGCCAATTTTAACCCAATTATTATTTGTACAAACTGGGTTGAGAAAATGAATCATAAGTAGTTGATATACACCAAATATTAAGCCCCAGGCCCTTGGCATGATTTCTAAAGGCTGCAATTAAAATTCTACTCTTTATTTTCTGTGATCAATATATCGGACCCATTGGAACAAACCTGATAGAGCTTCATGCAAGGAATATTTCTGCAAGGTTTCATGAACTTTGGCAGTGTGGTATAAGAAATGTCATTTAAATGAATTGCAGATAAAAACATCCATATATTCTTAAGGCTCATGCGATAAATGTATGACAAACGAGCTAAAAATCTAAGAATATGTCAATATAATACCTGTAAGTGTTCCTAAAACTTTCCATACTCTAAGTAAGTTTAAACTCTCATTTGTTTCCTCAATCAACAGCCCTTCTACAGTTTTTAACAAATTCTGAAATAAGAACAATAAATAATGGTCTTGAAAAAAAAAATAAAGAAAAACTCCACAACATGATAAATTAGAACTATCACTGAAAGTGAAAAATACCTCGTGTAAAAAGCTTCTATTACTGAAACAAGAGTCACAACAAGAAGGGGCTACACTTAGCAAATGTAAGAACATTGATAAGGCTTTTATTGGTGAAGGTCTTTCCAATATCAAGATCACATAAGAATTACTCAGAATTACAGATTTTAAATAAATTTTCAAATTTGTCCTTGAGGGTCAAAGACAAACGTCAAGATCATACTTGAGTTACATCACATGAATGTTTGTATAAAAATGAAATATTTGGCCAATATGGTGATAATTCAATAAGTCATGGTCATTTAAAGGTCGAGATAATACTTAAATTGCTCAACTCAACCATTTTATCCTAGGTGACGGTTAATCCATTATTGATGAATCAAAATTAAGGTAATTTTAGCAAATTTCAATGACCAAGTCTTCTCTCTCAAGGTCATTTTAAGGTCAAGTGTTGGTTTGCCCAAGTATCAATAAAATCCACCTATTACCGGGTAAGTTATGGCAAGTTTAAGAAAAATACATAAACTATACTTACCTGAACAAGATTAAGTTTGGTACCAGCAATGATCTTGTATTCCTGATTGGTACTACATACTGTATACAGTTCATTGATGGCATGAGCTTTCTTATCATTGCCAACTTTACTAAGAAAGATGACCTGCAAAACTGGTACAAACTGCTTAAATCTGTAGCTGTACAACTGTAAAATAAGCAAAATAATTTATTTCAATATGAATGTACATTTCCATTATATTTCAATACATATGTAGTAAGGCAAAATCATATTTCACTTAACTTCAAATATTTTAAAATAAACATATTTTGTTTCTTTGCTTAAACCGCCTTTAATGTTGATTTTAACAAATTTTTAGTCAGTCCACCTAACCAGCTTTCCCAGATCATTTAACAATAATCACCAATTTGTCTGTAAGTGACTGACTACTAATCCCACATGATTTTTTGAATCACTAGTGAAAGACATATCAGACACAATGTGAAAATTTAATTATCAAAAAGAACTTTCACAGCAAAAATTTTATTTTCAAAAAATTAGATTTAAAATCACTTTTAAATCATCCCTTTTAAAATTTTAAGATGAAGTGGGCAGCACAAAATTAATTTAAACATCTTTAGTCTGAAATGTTACATTTTTTTTAGGTTTTACATTTTGTTTCAATGAGATAGGTATTTGCCCAAAGTATAATGAATGCTCTCATTTGGTTAAAATATAAATCAGACAAATACTTGCTTATGATTGACAGAACTAGAAATGTGTCCATAGGACACGGTTGCCCCCATCGCGCCACTGTTCTGTCAAACTTTTTACTAAGTCAAGGGAAATAACTCTACAAATACTGGATAAATCCACAAGCAAAACCCCAGGTGCAAATCTAAATATGCTGAGAAACCTGCCCATAAGGTTTAATGACTCTATGTCAAATCATTTTTGAGTAACTTGCGACACAAGTTGAAAATTGCAAAAAATTTCTAAGTCAAGGGCAATAACTCTAAAAATACTTAATAAATCCAGACGAAAATACCTGGTGCACAACTACACATGCTGATCAATATTCCTGTAAAGTTTCATGACTCTAGGTCAAATACTTTTTGAGTTACGTGTGACACAAGTTGAAAATTGCAAAGTTTTACTAAGTCAAGGGCAATAACTCTAAAAATACTAAATAAATCCAGACGAAAATACTTGGTGCACAACTACACATGCTGATCAATATTCCTGTGAAGTTTCATGACTCTAGGTCAAATACTTTTTGAGTTACGTGCGACACAAGTTGAAAATTGCCAAATTTTACTAAGTCAAGGGCAATAACTCTGAAAATACTAATAATATCCAGACGAAAATACCCAGGTGCACAACTACACATGCTGATCAACATTCCTGTAAAGTATCATGACTCTAGGTCAAATACTTTTTGAGTTACATGCGACACAAGTTGAAAACTGCAAAATTTTACTAAGTCAAGGGCAATAACTCTGAAAATACTATAAATATCCAGACGAAAATACCCAGGTGCACAACTACACATGCTGATCAACATTTCTGTAAAGTTTCATGACTCTAGGTCAAATACTTTTTGAGTTACATGCGACACAAGTTGAAAATTGCAAAATTTTACGAAGTAAAGGGCAATAACTCTGAAAATACTATGAATATCCAAGGTGCACAACTACACATGCTGATCAACATTCCTGTAAAGTTTCATGACTCTAGGTCAAATACTTTTTGAGTTACGTGCGACACAAAAGTGAACGGACGGACGGACGAAAGGACGGACATCCGGCCGAAATGGAATAAAGGGCCATTTCTTTTGTTATTTTCTATTGTTTAACAGAGGGCCAATGGCCCCTTACTCTATTGTTACGGAATGAACTCTATTGTTCTCTTTTGTTCTGTTTACAGTTAGATGGCCCTCTATCCCTATTCGGTAGTGTGGACAGACAGACGGACGGACAAGGGTAAATCTAAATGCCCGCCACTAAAGTGGGGGCACAAAAATGCACATACTAATTTATAAATATCTAAGTTGGTACCTTGAAGTGACATTATGTGCACACACGGCTATAAAGTGAGTTAACAGGTGAAAAGTCAAAATAAGTTTACATTTAACCATAATTCTGTTTATTTAAATAATTTACTTTGCATGAACGATTAATAACTTAAGTGACCCTGGGAGAGTTATATAAAAAGCTGATAGAATCTTCATGTAACACTCAATTTAATAAAATGGGTCAAAGACAGAAAAGGTCGGGTTGCATTTGTATACCAAATATCATGAAGCTGTGATGTTACAAAAAATGTTAACCTTTGACCATTAATGTTGAAAATTTAACTTAGTCAGTAAACAGGAAGTGGACAAGTGACAGATCTGAAATCGCATCCCACAGTATGGGACCATGTGTCAATGCTGTATGCCAAATATCAAGAGGCTGTGATTAGTAGTTGCTGAGAAAACTGTTACGAAAAGTTCCTATCATTAACAATTAATGTCCAAAATTTAACTCAGTTGCTAAACAGGAAGTGGATAAGTGACAGATCTGAAATCGAATCCCACAGTATGGGACCATGTGTTAATGCTGTATGCCAAATATCAAGAGGCTGTGATAAGTAGTTGCTGAGAAAACTGTTACGAAATATTCCTATAATTTACAATTAATATCCAAAATTTAACTAAGTGGGTAAACAGGAAGAGGATATTATTTTTAGTGACAGATCTGAAATCGAAACCCACAGTATGGGACCATGTGTTAATGCTGTATGCCAAATATCAAGAGGCTGTGATAAGTAGTTCCTGAGAAAACTGTTACGAAAATTTCCTACCATTCACTGTTAATGTTGAAAATTTAACTAAGTCGGTAAACAGGAAGTGGATGAGTGACAGACCAGAAATTGAATCCCACAGTATGGGACCATGTGTCAATGCTGTATGCTAAATATCAAGAGGCTGTGATAAGTAGTTGCTGAGAAAACTGTTACGAAATATTCCTATAATTTACAGTTAATATCAAAAATTTAACTAAGTGGGTAAACAGGAAGAGGATATTTTTAGTGACAGATCTGAAATCAAAACCCACAGAATGGGACCATGTGTTAATGCTGTATGCCAAATATCAAGAGGCTGTGACAAGTAGTTGCTGAGAAAACTGTTACGAAAATTTCCTACCATTCACTGTTAATGTTGAAAATTTAACTAAGTTGGTAAACAGGAAGTGGATGAGCGACAGACCAGAAATTGAATCCCACAGTATGAGACCATGTGTCAATGCTGTATGCTAAATATCAAGAGGCTGTGATAAGTAGTTGCTGAGAAAACTGTTACGAAAATTTTTTCCTGCCCGCCCGCCGCCCATCATTCATCATACTATAACCTGGGTTTGCACATGAGCAACCCGGCCAAAAAAAGTGTTGGGCAGTCTTTTTTTATATACTAGGCAGATTCATTTTTATCGTTAACATTTTCTAATATCTAATGTTGGTCAATCACCATTACAACAATCAATACTTTGAAATATAAAGTCAATTCAGCTCAACATGACAATGAAGTGCATTAAGTCACTATAATATTGTTCTTCCAATTTATGTCAATGTCCGGTTAGCTCAATATGTAGAGGGTTGGGTTGTAAAACAGGCGCCCCAGGTTTGATTCCTGGTGCAGGTCACCACAGTCATGAAATTCTTTTTATAGTCATTCGCACTGTACCTCTGCTCTGACATGTACGGATGTTCCTTCCGAAAATGAAGCCTGCCCAGGAATATTGAAGAGGCTGGTAAATTCAATGCAGCTTACTGAAGTTATCCAGAGGGTAAACTACCAACACCATCACTTTTCAAAGATATACTTTTATCTTTTAGTTCCAATAACCATATAATTATCCACAATATCACACAGACACAAAAATAAGAGCTGAACAATACATCATCTGATTTTAACACTATCAAGTTAGGTGAACATACAAATAAATGATTAACAGCATAATACTTACAGCAGTATTCCCTAACTTCAGTTGAACAATCAGCAAAATACAATACTCCATAAGCTGTAAAATTGATATATGTAACACAGATTAGTATTACACAGAAGTCTTCATTCATTTCATTATGAGAAACACTAGATTTACTTTTTTATAAAAAGAAGTAAAGATTTCTTTCTTGTGTTCGCTAATGATAAAGAAATTCTTGGTGACTAATCATTTTGATAACATAATACACATATAAACATTATTTTGTAAACTACTTGTTGAACACATTATAAATGAGTTGAAAACATTGTAAATGTATATATCTAAAGTTGCAGCTACTGATCTAACTTGACAGACATTCTGGCCTGCCATCATGCCTGGACATATACCTGTATATTAGCAAACAATGACACAATATTTACCTGTGTTTTTGATTTCCTTCTCCAGCCTTCTGCATCACAAAATGTCATTAGATGATCAAGCAACAATCTGCAATAAAGACCAAATGCCTTTAAAAACAGTTAAGTTATTGATGAAGTATTTAAATTTGCCTTCAGCTAGTACCTAAATTACTTTTAAACTCTTTGATATATATGTATAAAATACGGAACCGTAAGTAAATTTTTAACCAATATGCATTTATAAATCATCTCTTTATTTTATGATTTATGTTAACCATTACCAGGGATTTTCCCTTCTAGAGTGGGACCATTTATAGGACTCTTCCCCTCTTGATAACTCTTTTAAAATCATACAGTTTTTCCCTATAAATCAGTTATAATGTTCCACTACCGTTCACTTTCTTACCAGAAATGTATTCAGATAGCGTAATAAGTATGACATGAAAGTTCCATAAAAAGATTAGTATTTAACACTGTTGAAAGTAGATATTTTCAGTGAAATATTGAAACATGAACTGTAAGTTTTGTTCATAAATGCATATGAAACCTCCTTTCTTTTTTTTTTAAAGATTTATCTTTCAGAGATTGACTAGAATTAAGAATTTAAAACCTTAGCTTACATCAGGGTTTTTCAAATCTCTATTTGAAAGACCCTACTTAAATGTGTTTAAGTCTGAAATTTTGTGAAAAATAGACCCTTCTATTTTAAAATATGCATCTAAAAGGCACCAGAAGCCACCATTTAACATGTAGTATTCATCTTTTTCCTGAGTGAAAACCCCCAGAGCCCCCATAAATAGGGAGGTTACAAACTTAAGCCCACTGCCCAGCCCACCCCCAACCAGCAGAAAATATCTTGATCAAGCCCTGGTACATAAGAACATAAGTAGGCGGTACAATCAGATGGTGAATCACCCTCTAAATATTCTTGTTTCTGACAAGTTAAATAGTGATACACTGCAGACATTGTAATATTTATATTTGCATATTATATATTTTTAAGCTTTCTTTTTACTGTATCCCCTTGTTGAAAATATTACCATACCTTTTCCTTCTAACTGTGAAACATTCTTCCAACCCATTGTCCACAACAAGTTTATATGTCACTTCCCTAAAAACAAAAACATAAATACAATTTACATTATGATAAAGAAATACAATTGCAGAATCAACAAGTTTCAACAAAGTGTTTATATGCAAAGTATTTATATAATTAATAACTGCCCTTTTTATACACTAATAATTTTTTCCTACAAGTTTTTAAAATGATTATGCAATATTCCAAAGGCTAGGTTTATAGCCATTCTGACTTGTTGTTTCAAAGGAGAATGTATTTCAGTATGTTACTGATAAAAGTTAGTGAGTTAGCTAGAGTTGACACTCCAAAGAAAAACTCAAAACTAAACCTCAGACATGCTAAAATGATGGTTGAACATCACATGTTCTGGTTAATATTTTACACCTAGGTATCATAGACTTTTTGCATGAAAATTAATCTATTGACCATCCTATCATAATAACACCTCAGTATCAAGAACACTAACAATGCAGTCACAATAGTTTTTTCTTCAAATTCCTCAGACTCAGACCTACATGCATCCATATCTCCAATTTTGGTCATCAGCATGATAAAACCCTGAAATACAAACTTAACATGAGTTTTAGTTTACAACAAAAGGCAAATTTCCAGCTTTGCTGTAGTAGAAAGATAAAGATCTGAGGCAGCACTGTATATTATCAAAGACACACAGATAAACACAGGTGAACCACAAACAATCTAGAAGATAGCTTTCTCCAATGTTATAATTGATTATGTCCCTGGTAAGAATTAAATAGAAGACACGCGTAAAGCAACCCAACCTTATCAACTCAGTTTCTATGAAATAATGTTGGCACAAACAAAATATCTTGACAAAAATCATAATTATGTACCTGTTGTCACAATGCATACATACATTTAAATAACCACTATTTAATCTAAATAACATTAATATGTAATTAGTATACCAGTATTTTGTTGTATCATCTAAAGTGACTTTCGTGTAAAATGAGCTGCGTCATGACAAAACCAACATAGTGCGTTTGCGACCAGCATGGATCCAGACCAGCCTGCGCATCTGCACAGTCTGATCAGGATCCGTGCTGTTCGCTTTCAGTTTCTCTACTTGTAATAGGGTTCGTAGGCGAGCAGCACGGATCCTGATTAGACTGCGTGGATGCGCAGGCTCGTCTGGATCCATGCTGGTCGCAAACGCACTTATTTGGTTTTGTCATGACACCGCTCAAATATCATTGAACCTACGTCCAGAGTTTGTTTCTGTACATCCTCGAGTGCAAGAAATATTTGACTCTGTGACATACTGTACACATTGTACATACATGTTTTTGACTGAGTTTTTAAATACAGGATAGGTGATAGTCAGTCATTATTTGTTAAAATCTAATAGGTAGATAAGGACATACTACTGTTAGATCTTAAAGAAACTAATAATAGTTAGAAACAAGGAGAAACCACTTACATCTATAATAGCCAAACAGTTATCTCGGCTGACAGTGTGCTCCTGTATCCAGCTACTGATGTCTTTCAATACCAAAGAACTTATTATACTGTTGTGCTGTAGAGTCATCAGGGCCTCGATTAGCTGATGAATACTTGCATTGCCACTCACCTTAAAAAACATTTACTATAACATTAGGACTGTCATTGAAAATCCCAATATTGTTATACAATGTAATACGATATTCAAAAATTCACTTTCATATCTTTTCACAATTTAGAATAACGATAAAATTTTAAACTTATTTTTCCCTGTCATGTGCAAATATCAAGAGGATATTTTTTCATTTTTTGTGAAATATGGAATATATTTTCAAGAAACATGATAAAATGCCACATATTTTCACGAGCTGGGATGGCAAGTGAAAATATGTGGCATTTTATCATGTTTCGTGAAAATATATACCATATTTCACAAAAAAAACAACACCCAAAATAACCTTTTTATTTAATTTCATTATCAAAGAAAAATGTTTACGAGTCCCCTTGCTTGCTCTGCAACTGCAATTGTACAGTAATATATTGATTATTATTGTGTCTTAAATTGTTTTGCCTGAATTTGCATGCGCTGTTTGGCGCTACATTGTGATGTCTCCTAAACAACTCTTTAAACGTCTGTACAGCCTTATTGACTGAATTAAAGATATTGGTGTTTGGATTTATTTTTTAGTTAGACCATTTTCTATCATTCTAGACAGTTTTCAAAACAAAATTCAACAAAAAGTTGTTTTTTATTCATCAGATTTTTTAAACCAAATGGCAAAAGAAGTCCCTTGACTCCGCCCACTTTCATATTTATATTTCATGTTTATTTTTTACAAATATGAAATATATTTGACTGATATAGCACCATATTTTATGGGTAAAATCAAAAAATTCTTTTTTTTCCATAAAAAGAATTCATTTCTCTCCCTTTTTCTTGGCTAGCTTTAACCCTAAATTTAATTTTTGGCGGTCAGTGAGAAATAATAACAAGTAAAACATGCATACTCTGAGTATGTTGAAAACAAGCAGGCATTAGGTAGGAAGGAATCCACATACACACTTTAAATGGAGATTTTCACTGGTTTCTGTGCTAAATGCTACATACATATCAAGGGAAAAATTATCATAGTGGTTTTCAGTTTCAAATTATGACAAAATGACTTCACACTTTTTGATAGTTCCATAGTTATACTTTAATGCTACTTTGCTTGACATTTTTCAATATTATGAGGTTTGAATCATTACAAGCAGAGATATTTCCCTCCTAATTTTCCTCCTATTATCTACCTCAGATCAGTAAAGATATGTATCTTACAGTGAAGGATATCAATTCAACAAAATCATGTTATCATGTCACATGGTAAACAACAGGAAAATATTACAATGACCCTGGTTACAAGAAAAAAATGCCCATACCTAGCAATTAAGAAAATACAAAGATGACTCTGATGTCAGACTTTTACAAAAATTTAAGAATACCAATTCTCAAAAATCAAATGATAGATGTTGTGAAACATGAGAGTGTTAAGCATTGCCCTATCTGTAGAAATGCAGAATTTGATAACACTTACTCACATGGACACAACTTCCTTGTTAAAATTTAAATAACACATAAAATTTGTAAAACTTCAATCATAATGTTCATATATTTATCAACAAAAGTTGACGTCTTGCTTTATTACAAGCTATTTTTTCTTATGTTTATTTTTTTCTCTAGAAGTAACTGTTGACTAATGTTTATAATTCAGAAAGTTGATCTTAAAATTGAGCAAAGTCAAGTAATTCTATATAAATTTAATTAATGTATATCAATAGATAATCATGTTAAAAGTGTAATGCTGGAGATACCAAGTAATCACAGTAGATGGTCAAATAATAATCTTAGAAGACGAAGACACGAAAAGGGATGACCAATGCCATTCATAAGTTTGTTTGATATAATTACAATATTATATGTACATATATTTATAATAAAGTTTACAAATAAACAGTAGGACAATCAACAGTGTTATTAACTGTGTTAAAGTTGTAAGATGTACATGTAGCCATGAATATTGAAATAACATGCACACAGGATGGTCTTCCTACCTAACTTGTGTAGAGATAACATTTCTCTCTAAATTTTAAATCCCTTCCTCCAAAAGAATCATCCTTGGTTTATAATTTTATATGTGACCAATATATATTTGTTTGGTTTGGTTTAACAGTGCACCAACACAGTTTAAAAAAAGGTGATGATAGATGCACGGAAGCACCGATGGACGCCGGACAAATTGTGATCATAAAAAGCTCAACTTGACACTTTGTACTCAGGTGAGCTAAAAATAACATTGTGCTTACTCTATCTGCTGGTATAAAACGATGTGTACATGCTTCAGTTCCATACAGACCCAGGAACTCAAATCTTCTCCCTTCAAATCCTGGCATACAATGATCTCTACATTTCTTGTCTCTGGAAGATATTACAATATATATCTTATGACTTAGACTAAGATGATGGGTAAAAAATTTAATGACTTTTTGAGCTTTTTCCATAAAAGTTAATTAAAAGCCTTTTCACATTTCCAAATTCCAAGAAATGCCACTTTTGCAAAAGAAAATTTCTGTGATTGCTGCTTAGAAACAGATTAATAAATATTTTTTAAAAACATATTTACTATACTGAGTAGTGTCATCTTTAAATACCCAAAATATTCTTAGTTATTTACAGCTCAATAAAACCAGAGGTATTTAAACACTTCCAAGTAAATGTTTTTTTCATCAAACAAAGAAAATTGTGGGTTGTAAATTGGCTTTGATAATTGTGTCAATATCGCACTTCCTCTGATGTCAAGAAAAATTGAACACTGATTTTCACAAATCAGGGCCTTTCACAATTAAGGGGGAAAAGCCATGTGTCGTCTCTAAATGTTTTTGAGATCCATATTTAAAATCAAAATCACATAAAATATATTCTAGTTAAAGAGACATAAATGTATCAAAATAAATTTTATGAAATACTTCCCCTCTTGAAATGGTTTCCATTTTGATAATGATCATGTATAACAAGTTAGAATCTGACATTAATTATGGCCTGTCAATCTTTAAAAGCTTATCATTGGTCAAAGTATTTATGTCCTTATTGAATGTTAGGGATAACTCTGTCAGACCAAAATTTGAATGACTGAAGATTAGAATTAATGTAAGATTCTAATTTCTCTTAATTGACCAACAAAGCAAACTCTGGTATCAAAATGCAAAAAAGGTGCATGAATGTGAGAAAGTGAAACTCTATGTTATACATAAACCAAAACAGTGGCATAAATGTGAGAAGATAATATTCATGTCATATAGTTGGCTATTACCTGTCATCACTATGTCGAATGATTGTAGCAAGGTTAGTGCCTGAAATATCTAGTGACTTCAACTGAGGCATCTCTTTTACTGCTTCTACAAACATTTCAACCTGATTTTCTGCATATAAAAATGGTTCAAATTCGGAAAAGTCTTCTAGAGGTAGATTGCAGGAGATATCCAAATGTCTGTAAATCATATTTATTAATTTTATATATTATTACAGTATCAGCATCACATACACATTGTAATAATATTCTTAACATTTATTATGACACTTATAAATTAGAACCTTCTATAAAAACAATTTAAGCTATCACTGAAGGTGATTAATACCCCCACCAGCAATTCTGACTTTCTGAAAAATAAGTAGTCTGAAGAAAAATTTGAACTCAACCTATAGTAAAAGAAGTATCAATTGTGTACAAAGAATTATTTGATAATTTCAATAAATTATAATCCCAACCAGGATCTTCATACAAACTTGCAATACACCAAATTAGATTACAATATCTCATTTCGTAACTCTAGTTATTGTCCGGAAACCATTTTTCTACTTTTAGTAGACCTTGACCTTGACCCCAGGGGTCTAAATGCAATATCAACTGGGGCCTTCATGAAAGCTTGTTATACACCACAATTGATTACAATTTCTCATTCCTGACTCTAGTTATTTTCCGGACACCATTTTTCTATTTCAAGTAAGTGACCTTGACCTTGCCCAAGGTCTTTTCTATTTTTTGCTCTGGCAGCCATCTTGTTTGGCAGAGATCCATTTGAGCAATTTTTGGAGGTGACCATCCTAATCATTTCTGTACAGTTTAATCACTATTGGAGTTTGGGTTTAAGTCAAAATGTTAATGACGGACAACAGATATTGGACCCAGCATGTTGTGCTCAGGTGAGCTAAAAAATCATTATTTGCAAGTAAGCTTAGAACAATTTACCTGAGGTTCCTAAGAGTAGGTAGTTTTGTGAAGAAACTGATCGTAAATGGAATCTTCATATCCTCCGTGATAGCAGCATACATCTCAAAATATTCAAAGGACAATGATAGTGATTGGAGATGCTGAAGCTTTGCTACATCTGGCCGAGATAGAAACCACTCAATTGGATTTGAGAGCATTGTTACTAATCTAAATGACTGTAGATTAGGATTTCTGCTAATCACTCCTGACAACAGACTATAAAACCAACCAAAATATCGACATGGCCGAATATTTGGATGAATACCGCTGTAAACTTGGTAATAGCTGAAAGACTTCATATCTATAACAGTATTATCTAAAGATTTGCTTGCTAATTTTTCATCGGTATCCATCTCTGCTTCATTATGAGTGTTTTCTTGTGCATCTGTTCCATCTGTACTTTTACTTTCTGCTTTTCCATCATTTTTACTTGCTGCTTTATTGTCATCATCACTGTCATCATCAGAACCACTCGAGTATGGTAGATCAGAATCAAAGTCCTTCCCACCAAGCAGGTTTAAACAACCAATAGTGTCATCCTCTTCACATTTCTGTGTAATCACAACAGTTGATAAATTAGAGAGATTATTTTTACACAAGACACTTAGAGCTTCCAATCGATAGGAAGAATCAAAACATGTCATATATAAATTTTTTACAGATTTAAAGCACATAGCTAGTGTCATCAAATTTTCATGTGTATAAGATCTTTGATTGTTTAAGCTTAGATCTGTACAGCAGTTAAATTTCTTCACAAGCTCATCAACAAATGGCTGCTCATGGTCACATGGTGTACCCCGAAGATTGTAATACTCTAGCATCCTGTTGCCAAGCAATGTGGTTAAGGAAGACTCAAACCCTTCATTTGTGTCATTGATTTTATTCAAACATGGTAGAAGTATATCTAAATTGTTCATCAGGTAAAATATAGATAAATCTTGAAGTGTATCAGGGCCATCCATCTTTAAGTTTGTATCTGCTGCCTTGTTGTTAGGATTTTAACTGGTGTGTGACAGTGCTGCAGTTCTATAGACTTCCATCCTGGAAAACAAAACTGCATTTGTGAAAAGCAATATCACCACATACTAAAAATAGAAGAAATAAAAGTTGTTGATTTGCTTGTTTATATATTATAATATTTAAAACATGTATATTTACTTTACATGTAAGGCTCCCACGTTTACAATTTTTTGTAAACGTTTACACGATTGCCCAGAACCGAAACGATACCTTTTAAACGGTGGTACTTCTACACCATGTATTCAAGTCTCAAATGATGACTTATTTTTTATTTACAAATAATTTAATGTTCAGGGCTCATCACGATTGAGTCCACACATATTTTCTGCATTGTATCCTCATTTCGCTCTTTTGAAAGATCAAATGATAATCATTTTTACCAATGTATTATGTCACGATTAGTGCACGGTAATGCTGTGTGAAGGGTTGTAAATACCTGTTTTCCGTATTTTACTTTGGAATAAACCAATTACAATTGATAGAATTCATGATTACTGGCAATGATTAAGATATTTTGTAAGACAATTTGGTCATTTCGATTAAACGGTAAAAATTATCGTAAACATTTTCGACTGAAAATCGAAACGAATCCGTTTAAACGCGTAACCGTGGGGGCCTTATTTACATGTATATTAAAAAAAAACTAACACATTTAATTACACAAAAAAAATAACCTTAAATAACCCTAACTTTAAACAAGAGGGCCATGATGGCCCTGAGGTCGCTCACCTGTATATAGGCCCCCCACCCCCGGGCCAATTTTTACCCAAGGGCTTTTATTTGTTTATTTGAACAGACTTGGTAGACACCCATAAGAAGATGTTTCATGCTAAACATCTAAGTTCTAGCTCATTGGCATTTTTGAAAGAAGATTTTTAAAGTTTTTACTATACACATATAGTTAAAAACAATGTCACCCCTGGGGCAGGGCCAGTTTCAGGGCGTTTATTTTAACAAACTTTGTAGATATTTACTTAAAGATGTTTCATGCTTAATATCTAAACTCTAGCTATTTGGGTTTTTCCAAAGAAGATTTTTAAGTTTTTGCTATACACATATAAGGAAAATCAATGACCCCCCCCCCCACCCCCAGGGCTTTTATTTGAACATACTTGGTAGACACCCATTAGAACATGTTTCATGCTAAATATCTTAGCTCTAGCTCTTTGAGTTCTTTAAAAGAAGATTTTTTAAGTTTTTACTATATGCATATAGGGAAAATCAATGACCCCCTGGGGCGGGGCCAATTTTGACCCCAGAGCTTTTATTTGAACAAACTTGGTAGACACTCATTAGAAGAAGTTTCATGCTAAATATCTTAGCTCTAGCTCTTTGGGTACTTTAAAAGAAGATTTTTAAGTTTTTACTATATGCATATAGGGAAAATCAAAGACCCCTTGGGGCAGGGTCAATTTTGACCCAAGGGCTTTTATTTGAACAAACTTGGTAGACCCCAATAGAAGATGCTTCATGCTAAATATCTTAGCTCTAGCTCTTTGGGTTCTTTAAAAGAAGATATTTTAAGTTTTTACTATATGCATATAGGGAAAATCAATGACCCGCTGGGGCGGGGCCAATTTTGACCCCAGGGCTTTTATTTGAACAAACTTGGTAGACACTCATTAGAAGATGTTTCATGCCAAATATCTAAGCTCTAGCTCTTGGGGTTTTTTAAGAGAAGATATTTAAAGTTTTTTCTTTCGGTTGCCATGGCAACCAGAGTTCTGCATGGAATTAAATTCTTTGAACAATTTTTAAAGGTGACCACCAAAGGAACATTCCTGTGAAGTTTGGATGAAATTGGCTTAGTGGTCTATGAGGAGATGTCATTTAAAGTAAAAGTTTACGGACGGACGCCGGACGGACGGACGCCGGACGAAAAGCGATCACAAAAGCTCACCCTGTCACTTTGTGACAGGTCAGGTGAGCTAAAAACATAACTAAATGCTTAAAAAACATAATTATATAACTGTTAAAACTAAAACTAAACAAGGTTAACAAAAAAAAAATAGAAAAAAATAGCAAAACCCTTAAAAAAATAACACTATTTAAGAAAGGAGATAATTTTATATAGTAAGTACTAACATTAATAGAGTAAAAGATTATGCATTGTGCTGGAACAAGATATTTTTGTGTATTGAACGTTATCTTCGGACTTGCGAACTAAACCATTTGTACAGCATTGACAGAAACATATTTTGTTTTTGTTAAATGCAGTTTAAAACTTCCAAATTTGAATAAATTAGGAGAAAAACCGGCCAGAACAGTCATATGCCAAATTTCAAAATATCTACATGATCAGTTTATATCTTCAATAACTTCGTCAAAACAGAATCTAGGATGCTGAAACCTTTAACCGATTGTGGCATATATATTGCATTATGGAATAGACATACTAATGAACTTCAAAATAACAAAGAAACCCACTTGCCTGGCAAAAACTCGTTCACCCGTTTCAAAAAATCACGCCGTTTTCGCCATTTTGTCAAGTTTGCAACCAATTCGCTCACTTGAACCAAGTGTGCAACCACTTCACGTCCTGCCCCTTGTTTATATCTGCTGGTACTGTTCTGTTAGGTACAGGGTCTAGCTCTATACTAAATTGGCACCGGTCAAGTCAGTCCTATAATAAAAAGCTATTAGGATATTGATTGATCAGTTAATAAACTTTTTAAGGAGTAAATTACAATTATCCTGTTTTCTCGTATTATCGTGGGGCTGAGGACTAAACTTGGTTGGATATTTTGAATAAAACATCTTTGTATATATTTTTTTTAGCCTGATACCCAGAAAAATACTTCTGTAAGAAAATATAATGGAAGAAAGATTGGAACCGTAAGCAAAACAAAAAATATTTCTGCTTGTATATACTGACCTTCACCCTCTATGTGAAGCAGGTGCTTTCTCATATTATTGTAGAATTTGATTGGTTGTTAAGGCTGATCGCTATGTGATGATTTTATTCTAAACACCAGTTCAAATCATTGGTGCAACTCTTAAGTAAGTGTTAAATGGCTTGGCCATGTAATTATTAGAGTTTAAATAACATCTTGGTAGGCCATAATCAAACTTTTTAGGATCATATTGACGCCGTTTGTTACCAATTGATTTGGTTTGTTCTAAAATAGTTTGAACTCAGTTAAGTGTTGTTGTTTACATAATCCCTCTAAAATATATTAAGTTTATGTTTACTTATTAGTTATATGACCATTTAGCAATGAATACTACAGTTTTCCATCGCAGTGGCACCTGTTTTTGTTGTTTTGATGTCAAAAATAAAAATGATAAGGTCAAACAATGTTTCATTATTGGTTTTTAATTTAGGGTTAACGCACGTTTTTCCGTGTTATAACGTCTGCAGAGTCCCGAGGAACGGTTGGTGCCCGAGCCCGGTAGGGCGAGGGCTCCAACAGTTCCGAGGGACTCTGCAGACTTTATAACACGAAATAAACGTGCGTTGACGCTATTATAGCATAAAATTTTTAAAACAGATTCATGATGTATATTATATACAAAACACAAACATAAAATCCTTGTGCTTGAACGGTATTTATCCAACTCTACATGTTTTACGTATGCGTTTTATTTTTTCCGGGGCCAACAACTTGAGAACCGAACGAAATTTCGAATTTTAATTGATTTAACAAAGTTTAACTTTGGGGATATATTAAGTTAAGAAAAACATAACATTACTCTCCCCAAGACAAAACAGACGCCTCAGAAATTCCTAGAATGGTTACAGATTGGCGGTAGGAAAAAGATCAGTGACATCAGATTCAAATTCAGAATCGTTTTTTTAAGCACGCAAGTTTAAAAAAAATCAGGCATAAAACATTATTCTCTCAAAGAAACATACAGGACATTAAACAATATAAAGGTCAATAAAACAACGTTTTCTTATATTCATTTTGTGCTTTCCATTTTTGTAAGTTAATTTGGGGATTAAACTGAATGACAGATTCTATTTGTTTACATTGACAACTGTCCGTTTCTAAGAAAGGGCGACAACCAAGATAAGCGGCGATGTCTATACGCCGTATTGCCGGCATAATTACTTGAATGCTGCTCGCTGTTATGCGACTGAGGCCCTCGAATTAATAATTCCAATATAACAAGAGCGCATGACTCTGGCATCCAGGCCAAATCGTCATTTTTTGTTTGTTTACTGGGCCCTGTATGTATTGCGCATAGGTAAAACCGGGCTATAACAAGAGCGCGTGACTATGTTAACGCATGGTTTTGGCCCCGTTATAACATGGGCAAAAGAGGGAAAAATAGCCGATTTTATGCTATAATTGGAGTTCATATGTTTTGTATATTATCTATTTGTGGAACAAATATTTTAAGCTGTATTGTACACATAGTAGTGTGAGTCTGTCATTTGAAGCACAGATTTATAAATCCGTGTTTGAAGCGCCTGTGTCAGAGACCCACTACAGTACAGGCTTCTGCAACATGGAAAAAACTAGAAAATTGATGATTTTGGGGAAAAAAATAATAAATTTAATGTTTTTCTCTGGATTTTACGATAATTTCCACAGTTATTTTGTTTTTTATCTGTTTTTGTCCCATTTCTTTCGTTATTTTTGCTGGAAATAATACAGCTCTGCTAAATAGACAAGTTTTCGGATATCGACGGAAGTCGCAAGGGTCGCTTCCATCCGTTTTAATTATTCCACGATAATACGAGAAACCACGATAATACGAGAAACAGGGATATGGACGAGACACAGGAACTTGAAATTCTATCAAATAACCAATATTAATGATAATATCCAAATATACCCCCTATATACATTTATTTATAGTATATAGGGGGTATATTTGGATATTATCATTAATATTGGTTATTTGATAGAATTTCAAGTTCCTGTGGACGAGATGACTCAGGGCCGAGTTAGTGATTAGTCTCATTAGACCTCAGCCCTACAGTACGGATATAACAGCAGTAAATTTTGTGTATAATACAATAAAAAAACATTTAAAAAATTTAAAAGAAGCAGCCAGACTTACACCAGATGGCCATACAGTAAAGACATAAATACCTGCGATTCCTATTCGACAAACATTATTACAAATGTCGTCAATATCTAAAGGGGAGATAACAAAGACACTATCAAGATATAAGGCTACAAATCAACGGGGACGTACGTCAGGGCGGACCGTCGGACAGAGCGGACCGTACCAGGCGAACCGGGTAAGATATACAGTACATCATATACACATCATTTAATGATAAATTACAACGTTATGTTCGGTCATGAAACCAATTATATGAAGTATTCAGAAGTTTCAGCCAGCATTACAAAAGCAAACGATTGGATTGTAAAATTAAAATTTCTATGAAAATACAATTACATATCTGATGAAACAATTTATATAAAATTGTCTTTTTTCTTTCTAAAACATGTCTCTGTAATTTAGAATGAATGGTTTTCTAAATACCGTAAGAGTTATTTTTTTAGTAATTGATGTTGAATAACAAAATGAACACTGAAAATCGTCATATTGTGGAGTTGTAATACATGTAAAAGCTAAATGATTGTTGAAAATCTATTATTCATGTCACTGCTCAGCTATTTCTGCGCCACTGCTACTGCTGTGCTATTTCTAACTGCTGTGCTACTGTTACTGCCAATTTCACGTTTTATAATTTTGCTACTGTTACTGCTGTGCTACTGCTACTGCTAACTTCACGTTTCCTACTGCTGCTGCTGCTACTGCCTCTTCCCATGCATCAAATCCAAATATTGTGATACCAAATACTGTGAAAACGTCACAAGAAACAGTGTCATGTCTACTGCATATTGCTTAATGTCTATTGCAATGACATTGGTCAAAGAACTATAAGTTTCAGTGTTTGTGTATTTACTCATAGGTGGTAGTCACATAATCAATGTGACGCACGCATCCAGGCTATCTCAAAACTGTGTTCACTGCGACTATATTAAAACCTGGTTTTGATAAACGATCGATCTTTTATTCTTGATTTTACTACTTCTGGACCGAATATAACTTGTTTGATTTTGAAATATTCACTGTATATGCCTTACTGGGGCTTGAACGGTCAGAGAATCCTAGCGTATAAGGCGTATACGTTCCACCGAGTACCTCACGATCGATTGGTGGCTGGTATCCAGGATAATGAGTATGCCCTAAACATTAAGTAGACCATCCTGGCATGTATACCCTCCACTCGGATCCTGGAAATTGGCCTGTTTGCATGGAGGACGGTGAACCGGCTTTTGCTTGTGGCTTGAGCCTTCAATAATCCTCACACCATATCCCCGGCCTAGCTAGAATATACCATAGGGACTCGTGTGGGCGCTTGAAAAGTAGAGATCAACCTTTTGACTATCCTTAGCCATAAATCATATATGATGTTCAATAATTGATTGTGCTCTGTCATATGGCTTAAACAGGGGCATTCGTGGCCGAATGGTAAATGTCTTCGACTCGCAAGCACTTACCCCTTACCGCTGTGTTTGAATACCGGAATTTCGTATTGCTTAAGTGGGAAAGCGGGTGGTTCTAACCAAGTGCCCGTTCGGGTATGAAAATGACCAGAGTGGCACCTGGGGTCTTACTCTACCAAGAAAGCTGAACGTCTAGATGGTCATATGGGAAACATTTTCCAACATAAAACAAACATTAGATAGTGACTGTGTATTGTGTAATACTTACTGTGAAAATCTTATAATACAAGACGTTAACACATTACGAATATTTTGCTGACATCGCAAACGACTGTGTCTAGCTTCTGTCTTCTGTTTACTGCCCACGGCACATTGCTTACTACTTACAGCTAAATTTACTGTCCACTGCCGTTTGCTTAAAGCGACACCACTGAGGTTTAAAAGCCTAAGAACATAAAATTTGAATTTTCGTACATAAATGAGATTGGGCACTTTAAACTGAAATATATGCAAAGATAGTCAAGAAATATACTTCGAAATAAATTGAAAATCGTATTTTTATGCTTTTCTTAGCTCGATTTGTGTGAAAAGCGTTTAAACGCTTTTCATTTTTGGTCATATTTTTACAATTTGAATAATTATTCTGGAAAAAACGAAGTGCGCGAATGATTTGAAATTTTGCACAAAGATTAGTGGTCTAAACCTGCATCAAATGGTACATTTATCTGGAAAAATATTTTCAGTTCCATCGTTTCAAGAAACCTCAGTGGAGTCCCTTTAATGATTACTATTTCTTTCTGTTTTAAAGTATACAACCTATAAAGAACTTTATAGTCGCTGAAATAGTTGCAGTCTCTGTGCTTTTACATATCTATAGATGTCCAAGAAGCCATCCTCGTTTATTTTTACTGATTCTATGTATTACAGTTAAGTTATGCTAATTAACTTGCTTCTAAGAATTATGCAATTATAACAGAATTCAATAGCAGAATAGCAAAATATGTCATAAAAATATCTTTTAAAACATAAATGAGATTATCATTACAAGAGCATTATTTTTGCCTATTTATGAATTATTATAAGCAAATATCAAGGTTTTCCTCTCCAATAAAGGAAAGATTTTACGCAAAATCAATATTCATATTTTTCAACGGGTTTGGCGGCCATCTTGGACGCCATCATGGATTACTGAGCCAAATGAATATCCATTCCGGAAACTAGAGACCTAGTATATAAAACTTGTTTTTGGCTGACATAAACCACTTCGCTGTCATTAATTATACCCTATTTGCAGCACTAATAAGTGTGCATGTGTGAAGGTCTCATATTTGCGTCTACTTTGATACGATCATGCTGAAAATTTCAGTAAATAAAATTTAGAGACATAATATTATATTCCATTTATTGAACTTCATAAGAAAGACAGATTTCATAAGCATGCCAAATAAAACCTGAAAGTGCGTTATAAAATTATTCTTGACAGCCTTATGGCATTGATGTGACACAACGTTTTCAGCTCACCTGTCACAGTGACTTGGTGGGCTATTGTGATCGCTTTTTGTCCGGCGTCTGTCTCTAAACTTTTACTTTAAAAGACAACTTCTCATAAAATGCTTAGTCAATTTCATCCAACTTCACAGGAATGTTCCTTTGGTGGTCACCTTTAAATTCTAAATATATAAAGACTGTCCCACTCTTTTTATAAATTGAAAGTTACAGATACATCCCGACGGATAATTACACACACAAAAGCAAAGAAACATCAATATTTAAATATTATTATTTCATTAAAGCGCGGTCCGCATCGTCTCGAGTCACGGTCCGCCCTGTCCCAAAATACGTCCGCCCAGTCAAAACACACAGGCCGCCCTGGTACGGTCCGCCCTGTCTCACGGTCCGCCATGTCCGTAATTCATCAACGGTCTCCGGTCATCGACGGTCCCCGGTCTGTAAAGACCGCCTCTTGTTTAAACATAATTGATGTGAATTGAAAATTCTTTTTTATTTGTAATATTTTGAATGATGATAGAGACTTTATTGAATAAAATATATAAAAGAAAATAATATTGATCGGAAACATATTAAGATGCTAATAAATATTTTTAATTTAGTTTATTTAATTTAATTTAGTAGTCTAGATTTTATTCAGTTTTAATTTCAGAGACTTATTATATCATGGCTTAAATTCTTATATTTTCAGAAAGATAAGAAATTCACGTACATATATACAGCGTTGTCCCAACTTTAAATAGTGAAATAAATGCATTTGTGAATCAGCGAGCAATTAGAAGTATTTCCAAGAACGCCGATAATTAAAGTAGGTTATTTCCAATCTTACTTAAAACATAATTGGTAACAACTGCAAAGACTAAATGATAAACGTTTCAGGACAATAGTTTATCAGTGTCCAAAATAGTGAATGATGAAAAAAACTTTAATGAAAAAAAGTAACAAATAAACTGACAAAGAAAAAAAGAAAAATTTGTACAGTCCCAATAAATTTCTGCTCATTATTAGAAGGTATTTCTGGATTGTGTAATTAAGGTTTTTGCTATTTTCCAAGAAAGGTTACTCTGTCGGCCTTGTTTGATTTAATCTTAACTTGTGTGATTATGTCCCCTTGACCACATGTGCTATCTGCTCATCCACTAAAGTTAGGGTCACTTGAGGTCATTCGTTGTGATATAGAAGTTGTTGGTCATTGTGACATGTAGATGTGTTGGTAAAAGAATAAGATTATTTATAAGGATTTGGATTGAGGAATTGGTAATTGTACGTTTTATTCATTTGTTATTAAAAGTTCTAATGTCAACTAAATGAAGACTTATATATCTTTCCACACTAGTATAGATCCTTCACTCCTAGTGCATGATTTTTAAAAGCGTGAAATTCAATTGTGAAATATCTGCAAACTTTTTAAATACAAAAATATGTCGAATCAGTATTATTATTCTATTCTGCATTTCTGTTTTTTGTTGAGTTTCACCTTATTTGAAATTCAGCAATGATTGGTACCAATGCATCATCATCCTCGGTGATGTCACCATAATCCACCTTTATCTGCCCTTGACGGTTTACTATTTAGCGTTCTTTGAAGTGCCTGTACCCGTGCAAATATCAAACTATCTATAATTTCTATACTTCTTTGCTCCCAACGGTCACATGATTGAACGGTAATTACATTCCCATTTTATAATAGCTTATTTATCATTTTTTTCCATTTACCTCAATTAAAACGTTTTCAATAGACTTTCTCCAGAATTAAGAATATTTTGGATTTTCCCCAGCTAATCCGGCGATGCAAACAAACTTTAACTTCGAAAATAAGCGCAACAGGTTAACTATCGGTAGTGCGCCGTGAAGCTATGACGGTAAAAGTTTGTTTGTGCCGTGGGATTAGCTTAGAAAACCCACATTTGCAGAGTTATGGATAACATCTATTTGTTCAAACAAACTGTTTCTAAAAAAATGTATATAATGTGTTCATATGCATGGGGACCTATAATTCAAACGAGTAAACAAAGTATGTCTTGCTCATATATATTGATCGCACGTAGATTCATTCATTATATACAGTAATATTCATACATTTATTTTATAATTATTGTACATAGAACGACATTGTTAGTAACATATATTCAATTATTTTACAATTCATGATATAGTTCACAAACATGTGACTTTTCCGCCAAAGGTGTTAAGTTATTACACAATCTAAAGCCTTT